AAACATTTGTAACCATGCAGCTCTCATACAATGGAAATCTGTGGAAATTGGACCCTTTGGGAAACTTGTGTTTGCACGACAGATGTTATGCAGCTTTCTTCAACAGTTTGCTATCAGTTCTGCTGAGTCGTTTGTGATGGAAGCTCTACTGTCAAAACATGTATGCATTACAAAATCTACTTCTCTGCACAGTTTTAGCAGGAAGTCGAATTTTGATATTGAGTAAAACATATTACCGGTACTTATAATAAATACAATAATAAGTGCACATAATATAAGCATTAGCACATACATTAATAAAGGATATGTCCCCTGATGAGATGTAAAATGACTGAAAACACTATAGCTAGGCCTACAAAATGCTTTGGACTTTTTTTCCTCTGAGAACTGTAGTGACTGCAGTGAAATCTGATTTTCTTTTGCAGATATTTAACTTTTAAAACATGGATTTTTGTAAGATTGTAAGATCGTAAACAAATGGGAACTTAGGATCAAATAGGGTTTAGTTAGGTGCCTATTAGGGTGCCCACCAGATGCGGTCAGTATGATTTGGCTAAGAGGAAATGGCTGTTTTTTTGACACACATCTGATGCTTCAGATGTAGCTTGTGTTTAAGAATTAGACAGTACTAAAAATAATACTATTAAATGCAAGAAGAGCTGCTAATCTAGAAATCTTTGCACCAAGACACTCAGAGGTTGACTCCAGGAGAGGTCTGCTGTTGATCTTAGTTGAAGAGTTGTGTGTCAAGATAATTCCTGTCAACATCTTCTAAGACATGTATGTGGAACAAATCTGCTGAGATCCAAATTCTGTTTACAGAGAGGCGTCAAAAGCAGTCTGTTTTCAGATCAGAGTAAAGAAACTTATCATCAGTTTCATTCCGGGGACTCATTTGGCCTCTCTTGGATATACACTATATTGCCAAAAGTATTTGCTCACCCATCCAAATTATTGGAATCAGGTGTTCCAATCACTTCCATGGCCACAGGTGTATAAATTCAAGCACCTAGGCATGCAGACTGTTTTTACAAACATTTGTGAAAGAATGGGTCGCTCTCAGGAGCTCAGTGAATTCCAGCGTGGAACTGTGATAGGATGCCACCTGTGCAACAAATCCAGTCGTGAAATTTCCTCGCTCCTAAATATTCCACAGTCAACTGTCAGCTGTATTATAAGAAAATGGAAGTGTTTGGGAACGACAGCAACTCAGCCACGAAGTGGTAGGCCACGTAAACTGACGGAGCGGGGTCAGCGGATGCTGACGCGCATAGTGCGAAGAGGTCGCCAACTTTCTGCAGAGTCAATCACTACAGACCTCCAAACTTCATGTGGCCTTCAGATTAGCTCAAGAACAGTGCGCAGAGAGCTTCATGGAATGGGTTTCCATGGTCGAGCAGCTGCATCCAAGCCATACATCACCAAGTGCAATGCAAAGCGTCGGATGCGGTGGTGTAAAGCACGCCGCCACTGGACTCTAGAGCAGTGGAGACGCGTTCTCTGGAGTGACGAATCGCGCTTCTCCATCTGGCAATCTGATGGACGGGTCTGGGTTTGGCGGTTGCCAGGAGAACGGTACTTGTCTGACTGCATTGTGCCAAGTGTAAAGTTTGTTGGAGGGGGGATTATGGTGTGGGGTTGTTTTTCAGGAGCTGGGCTTGGCCCCTTAGTTCCAGTGAAAGGAACTCTGAATGCTTCAGCATACCAAGACATTTTGGACAATTCCATGCTCCCAACTTTGTGGGAACAGTTTGGAGCTGGCCCCTTCCTCTTCCAACATGACTGTGCACCAGTGCACAAAGCAAGGTCCATAAAGACATGGATGACAGAGTCTGGTGTGGATGAACTTGACTGGCCTGCACAGAGTCCTGACCTCAACCCGATAGAACACCTTTGGGATGAATTAGAGCGGAGACTGAGAGCCAGGCCTTCTCGTCCAACATCAGTGTGCGACCTCACAAATGCGCTTCTGGAAGAATGGTCAAAAATTCCCATAAACACACTCCTAAACCTTGTGGACAGCCTTCCCAGAAGAGTTGAAGCTGTTCTAGCTGCAAAGGGTGGACCGACGTCATATTGAACCCTATGGATTAGGAACGGGATGTCACTTAAGCTCATATGTGAGTCAAGGCAGGTGAGCAAATACTTTTGGCAATATAGTGTATGTCCAGTAAAAGAAAGTCTATCAATGAACCTTTCTTTCATTAAAATAAAGCTTTAACAAAATCGACCTTGTATCAGCTAACAGCACACTGAAGAATCACCTCCTCTTCTGATTTCATCCTAAAGACATTGTTAGATTTCAAACCAGTTTTTAAAAAAAAAATCTTTTTGTAGTTAATCCATAATATAGATCATTGTGATTCTAAATGAATAAACTGTTCATTCTAACTGCAGTATAATAACTCAGTATATTTCATTCCATTAAACTCGATTTAGAAAAACATGTTTTTTCTTCGAGTGATTTTTAACACACAAGAATAATTAATTTTATTTCATGAGGCGGGTAGGAATCTATTAATTACTCAGTTATTACCATAACTACTGTAAAATGAGTATCATAATATCTTGAGTAATAAATTAATTTGGTGTTAATTTGGTTCAGCCTCTTTTCCCTTCCCTGTGATGCTCTCTGTTGTTCCTCAGATCGTGCTGAGTACTTTTTATGTTGTCTGTTTAATTTTAGCATGTGCCCTTGTGTTTTTGTGTTGCTTCTATTAAACTCAGCCCAAGTCTCTCAGAACCATGATAATCATTTGGAGCAAAAAAAAAAAAAAGAAAATTGTTGCACCATTCCCCAGCATCCACTTCCTGGTACTCTAAAACTCGTATTCTTTGTCGGTTGTTCATCATTATCATCATCGCTGGCGCTTCCCAACAGGGACAAGTAATAATAAAGATGTCGCAGGCACCGCACGGTGGTGGAGGAGTTACATACAACCGAGCAAAAGCACTTATCTTCTGTCCAAACGGTCAGTTAACTGTATGTGGACACAATAAGCTTGTATGTGCTATGAGAACAGCACATTTTCAACAGGACGTGCACTAAGAGAAATGGGCGCGTGCATGCTCTTGCACACGCATTTTTTTTCTTTTAAGCTGAAAGGGCGGATCTTTTAAAAAACCTCCACAATACCTTTAAGATGGTCACGTCATAGAAGTTACTCAGTTTTTACTGGTGGAAAATTGTTTTTATTGTGGATGACTGGAGTCCTAAATCCATAGAAATGGCTTTGTAATTAATACCCATAGATGTTAATAATAATTTAATTATTTTAAACTGTGGCTGGATGCACAATATCAAAAAATCTATTTTGTGTGATTGGATTGTTGAAAAATGCCAATGATAGTTTAAACTCTGTTTAATCCACATTTACCTTATTTTTCTCTTTTTGCACCAGTATACATCATCAGCACCACTCTGCAATACATGTTTTTCAGCCATTAAAACCATCTGATGGTTAATAAAATTGTCGACTAGTACGTGAAGATTGATTTTTTAAATATCAACCCCTACAAAAATGGACATCCAAAAAAGTTCTCTGCGATTGTGATACTGCTCAGCTGATGACGCTCAATATGTCATAGAGTTCTTATTTTAGCCTACTTCTTTTTGCCAGGTTTAGTGATTTGTTTCTTCCCAAGGTCAATAAATAATCAGGTCTGTTTGTGGCTAGTAATAGTGAATTATTTGAAACTTTTTGTGTGTTTACTATATTGTTAAGTTTGTCTTTACCAAAAAAGCAACAAAACAAAAAAAACAGAAGAAATCTACAAGATGACGAATACTTCTTGCATAGCTACATATAGCTAAAGTCTGATGCAAACTGACCCTGGAGCTTAGTCTGTAAATCAAAAGGATGTTGAAGAAAAGGCCTCCAATAGTCGTCAACTTAAAAATTAGAAATTTGTAGAAATTCTTTTTGAGAAAGTATAAAATTTCTGATAAATCAATACGTAGGACTGAATTCAATTCCCTTTTTTTTTTTTTTTGCATCCCTACTCCGACACGCCTAAAACCAGGTGCTACCAGACCCCTGCTGAGCTGCATTACTGAATCCTGATGAGAGAAAAATAGGGATGCATTTCTAACGTAACAATCTGTAATTCACAAGATCTGCATTTTTAACAGTCAAGCTTGTATAATTAATTTAACTTTTTTTTTTATTATGAATGTAATGTAACATGCTTCCTTATGTATTTATTTATCATCTTACAATAGAATTTTTTATAGCAATGCTTTTATCTGTGAATGCAGTGCAACACATAGTTTGGACTATGTAGCAGCCAGAGTGTGTACCCAAATCAAATTTCCTTTGGGACAATAAAGTTTATCTGATCTGATCTGATCTGATCTGATCTGATCTTATCTTATCTTATCTTATCTTATCTTATCTTATCTTATCTTATCTTATCTTATCTTATCTTATCTTATCTTATCTTATCTTATCTTATCTTATCTTATCTTATCTTATCTTATCTTATCTTATCTTATCTTATCTTATCTTATCTTAACTTAACTTAACTTAACTTAACTTAACTTAACAATGATATATTTGAGTTAATAGGATAACCATAGTAGCTTGTGGCTCCTCTTTTACAGCCACACATACTGAAGGCCCTGTATGTGACTACAGACTAGCATAGGATTGCATGGTCCTCCAAGGACCATGCAATCAAGGATCATATTTTTTTATCACTAATCATACTATAAAACTGATGCTGTTTGTATGTTTCTGCTTTGTGCATTAAGCCATTAAGATTATATGAAGTGCTCTTTGAATTTTCAGCCTTTTCTCTCCGGCTTTTGCTAATTGACTTACCACTGCTGCAAGGTTCAGACGGGGTTAGAGATAAAGCTGCTACAAAATGCAGATGGTTTGACTTCATTTGAAATGCTTTAAATGTCAATTTCATGTATCATTCATTTAATTCAATCGGCAATTGGGGATTTCATATAAGCCTTCGTGGTCCTAAACAGTTTCTCCGCTGTTTTCCAGTTATCCAGAGCATGGTGTGGTGGAGATACGATCCGTGGATGTAAGGCCCCGGGCCAGGACCCTGCTTAAGTGGGACCAGCTCCAAGTGGGGCTGAAGGTGATGGTCAACTACAACATGGAGACCCCAGATGAGAGGGGCTTCTGGTACGATGCAGAGATAGTGACCATAAATCAAACCTCTCGTACCAATAAGGAGCTCCGAGTTAATATTCTCCTGGGGTGAGGATCTTTCATCCTGCTTTGATTTTTATATTCTAATTTTGCTCTGTTGCTCTGTATTAAATGATATGTCCTGGCTCTTTCTCCTTATAGGGGTCCTGAAGATGTAATTGGAGATTGTAAAGTTCATTTTTTGGATGAAATCTACCAGGTGGAGAAACCTGGAGCTCGGCCCCTTTCGAGCGCAGATGGGCAGTTTAAACGTATGAACTAGTCTTTCTTTAGAATTTGAACTTTTCCACTGTTCGGCCATGTTTATTAAAGGTATTTTTGAGAATATTTTTAAAAGACCCACCCTCTCTACTTTAAAGGTACACTATGCAACCGGTGTTGATTATTTCAGCGAGGCTCCCCCCAGAGGGCGAAAGTTAAAGTGCACTGTTCTCCTGGTTTCTCCGTCAAGCCAGGCGTGGTTGTTTTGAGCTTAGCAGACAGGCGAACGCAACAAATGACTAAGCATCTGACGCGCGTGACGCGCTGCTGCTCGAGATGGAAAAATTGAATTTTTGCTGCTCGACGCACCGCGTCAACCAATAAGAGAAGCTGATCTGGGAGCTGGCAGGGAGAGAGACACAGCACTGATGATCAGAGCGCTATCATCACTCCTCTTAAACAGTTTATTGACGCCTAAATTAACTTAAAATGCAAAAATCTGCCGGCAGAATATGTTCGCTTTTATTATCCTGCTGCCTGCAGTTTGTATTATTTAGATGAAAAACACCTACCAGCTGCCGCGGTGAACCGCGAGGAGGCGACCCGGCCAGAGGCTGCTGATGAAGGGATTCCTACTGTCGGCGCACCGCTGGCATGTGGGGGTCTGAGCGGCTCCGACGGAAAAAATATTGTAAGGCAGGATGATAATATGAATGAACTGACTGCTCTGATTACGTTTTCAGGTGTATTTTCTCACTTAAAAACATATTAAAACTACTTTATTCCCACTGATCACAGCAAATATAGCTGCAAGGCAGAGAAAGGATAGTGAAGCTCCGCCCAACGCGTGTCAGACACACTTTTGGACCGCGCAGCGAGAGCAGCAAAGCTGCTTCAGCCGCATGTCAGAACTAACTGGTACAAGCAGTAAAAATGAAGCAGCAGACACGATTTTGCTTCTTTTGCTGCGTCCGGTGTGAAAGCAGCACTGCACAAAGATCACCACTGTGCTAGCAACGAGCATGCTTTTAACTGGGGGGTGTAGCAGTTCTCGCCGTAAAGCAAGACCGACTCTCGTGAGACTTCTGAGCCTGTGGGTGCGGGTCGGTGCTCCTGCAATTGCAAGTGCGGTATTTCCCCCACAGACCACCAGGGCGGCCGAGAATACCTTTGTTCAACCTGAAATGACTAATTTAATCATCCAAAACGTTATGGAACACATTAATTAACTGAAAAATGTTGCATAGTGTGCCTTTAAAAACCCTGTACCTGCTCTTGAGAGGGAGCACCTATTAAACATGTGCGAGAGCATGCACGAGCCCAATTATCTTTGTGTGCGCTCTGTTTAAAAGTTGCTGTTCTCATAGCTCATACAAGCTTATTGTGTCAGAACGTCCGCCCTAACCCCTAAATCCCTCAATCACTACATAGAGCGGGGACTATATAGTGGACTTTAAAGCAAACCGTTCGTACAGATGATCACTACTTTTTGCCCCACTATTCATGTAACTCCTCCTCCAACACAAGGTGCCTACGCCATCTTTGTTATTAATCACAGCGGGAAGCTGCGACAGCAAATCCCATAATGCTTTGTGAGGAGAGAGCTCTGTGCAAAGCATTCCAGGATATATCTGCCTCTTCTGAGACCTTTTTTCTGTTATGACTCTCGGCCATTTCAACAGACACATATTTTCATGATTTACCATAAATTAAGATCTAAAGATTTATATATTTAGCCATAGTAGGTCAATTCTTTTTAGAATAGTTATTTCCCATTTCGTCTTAGCAAATAGCTCAGGCTCCTTAAGGTCGTTTAGCATCTATTGGCAGCAGCTTTTAAGCCTTTCCACACAATCTCAGTTTAATTAAGGTCTGGAATTTTACAGGGCTGTTTTAACAATTATTCCCTTGCAGCTCTGGCTGAACAGTTGAGATTATTGTCCCGTTTGAAGGCAATCCCCAGTCTCTCCCAAATGTTTTTTCAGACTATGACGGGTCTGTTTTCTGTAGGCTCTGCAGTTTTTTGCCTCTTCTAAGCAACCTAACTACATTACTGACATGTCAGGTGTGTTCTTCAGTCTTTTTGAGGTTGATGTGATGAAGGTATATGTATGACTGGATGTTTTATGGGCGTCTGGTTTAAGCAGATGTATTCATTGGACACTTTTCAAAAATATGTTTCTAAAAAAACAACAACATCTAGTTAACCTCTACTTCTTCTTCTAATTAACTTCTACTACACTTATGTTCTCCTTTCTGTTGGTTTGCTGTAGAAAATTCACAAATGCTTGTAGTTCTAATGAAGAGAAAATACGTAAACTTAAATTTGATGAATTTCTTCCCCAGGCTGTGGTGATTGCTAGTACTAAATATGTGACTATTTGGGGTTTCATCTTGTTTGTGGCTCAAGGGAAGAGCGGACCAGAGTGCAAGCACTGCAAGGCTGACCCTGAAGCGGAGTGTCGGTTCTGCTCCTGCTGCGTGTGCGGCGGGAAGCAGGACGCACACATGCAGCTGCTGTGTGATGAGTGCAACATGGCGTTCCACATCTACTGTCTCAACCCACCTCTGGCCAACATCCCAGATGACGAGGACTGGTGAGAGAGCGGCGGAAAGAAGCTTCACTTTTAGCTGCAAGCTGCTGCATCTCACTTATTTTACAACTGCTTATTAAAGGGAGTTCAGTTAGGGCTGAAGTGTATTTTAAACAGTGCTAAACTGCTGGTTTGGTTAAATAATTTCAAATATAACGATAATGCATCTTCATGTTGCAGGTAATTCATTGCCTGACTTTTTTCCAATTACAAATTCAAAACAGGAATTTATTGATTAACTTTATTATTTTTGATGACTATCTTAAATATTTACTACTTAAATGTATAATTTATTCCCTTAAAAAGTTAGATTTATTTTCTCAAATCTTCTGTTTTATATAAATTATATTATGGAATAATGATATTTTGGAGTCTGTGTGACTTTTATCCATACAGTAAACCTTTGATAAATTGAATACCAAGCAGGAAATGATTTTCTTTTACCAGGTACTGTCCAACCTGTAAAAATGACACCAGTGAAGTCGTCAAGGCTGGCGAGAAGCTTAAAGCCAGCAAGAAGAAAGCCAAAATGCCTTCAGCTACCACTGAGAGTCAGAGAGACTGGGGAAAGGTAAGACCACAGGGCACCGTGTGAGGCATGCAACACTGCTGGGACAGATTTCTACTCCTAATCTAAACAATCAGTTCAACGGTGATGTGAAAAACAAAACATAAATGGAGTCAAAGGTGTTTTGGAGGATATTTGCGAGTTTATAAAAAAAGACCCTCCCTCTCCACTTAAAAAAAAATTCACAAGCCCCAGGAACACTTAGAGGTGTTCAGTAGTTTCTATAGTACTGTAGGGAGACGACTTAAAAGTGTGAACATTTCTAAAAGCCAAAATGAAAAGAAATTGCTTTCAACATTGATATAAGACAGAATGCCTGATTTGCAACATAGCCACTTAAGTTTGATCCAGTCTAACTGACTGTTTTTATTTTTGGCTTTCAACCAAATAATAGATGCCAAATCAATAAAGGCTGCAGACCTTTTTAGATCACTGGGCTCTTAAACTAGTTCTGGTTCAAACAGAAATTGGAGCCGATTAGAACTCTGGAATAGCCCTTTAGTGCACTGATAAATTAAATACATTGTTATTGTAACTATTAGGCTTGTCCCGATCCGATCCACGTATCGGATCGGGACGCCGATATTGGCAAAAAAATGCGTATCGGCAAAGCATGTAAAATGCCGATCCAGTTTTTTTTTTAAATCCGGTCCGTATTTTCCAGTTTCGCCGATTGAAACGATCCATTCCACTATTTTGCGCCAGTGTTTCCCTGTTTTGCATTTTTATTAAAACTTACAGTAATACTTGCACCTTTAAATGTTTACGGTTTTACTATTCACTGTGCAATATTAGATTGCTATTCATAATTTTGTCCAGTTTGTGTTTATCTCTTAATAAACAGGTAAGTTTGTTGTTACCAATCATTGTGTTTTATTCAATCTCACCTAATTTAGCTGGCTAGATGTTATCAAGATTACTAAAACCCTTTTCAACATGAGTCTTACAACTAAGGCTAAATACTTTAACTTAAACTCAAATACATGCTCGGATAGGCTGGTATCGGCCAGTATCGGTATCGGATCGGAAGTCAAAAAACAATATCGGGATCGGATCGGAAGTGCAAAAACCAGGATCGGGACATCTCTAGTAATTATTATAATTAAGGTGTTTTGTGCACCATGCAAATGAAACCCCACTAGATTAACTAGTGGTTCCCAATCTCTGGTTCCTGGTTGTTTTATAGTTGTGTTTAATGGATCTTGTATTTCTGAGCACACCACAGCCTTCTCCCTCAGATCGACTTTAAGTCCTACATAACATCTGTGCAGTGGATTTGTTTGCCAGAAAATGCAAGGAGAGATTAAATGAGTTATTGACTTTTTCAAATGGTTGTTTAAAAAACAACAACTTTTATCTTACCAGGAAACATTTTATCTTACCAGGTTTAATGCACTTGGAAGAGCAGAGTTAGACTTTTACATTAAACAAATAGGTTTTTACCTTGAATTGAGAAGGTAGAAAATAAAAGAACTTTAATTTACTTTTGTTTTTTAAAGTTATTTGTTCTTTTATTCTTTTTTTTTCTGCTCTCCGGATTCCTCTCATGTGTAAAGTCATGAACATGCCTTCTCCTTGACGCCCCTCTCCGTGGTGTAATGTGAACAATGCCATTAGGCTTGACTTACCCACTTTCCTGGAACAGGCAATGGAAAATAACTCCCTTCTTTACCAGAATTACTTTTTTTTCGGTTGTTGTTTTTTTCATGTGTACTAATTGAAAACAGCCGGCTTATGCACTCCGGGTACATTTAAGTGTTCTGAGTCACACTGTGTTCATCTTGACTCTAAAACTTTCACGACTCTATAACTCTTTAAATAAACCACTTTTATTTTATTGTAGTGACACTTTAAAACTCATTTGTAACAGCTAAATCTGGACCTTAAACTTCTAAAACGTAGACTTTGTCTTTAAATCTTCAAATACTGAAGCTTTCGCTTCATTTGAGTCGCCATTTTAGGGCTTCTTCAACTTAAAAAAACAACAGCTTTCTTCTGTGATGAAATTGCAGGGTATGGCCTGCGTGGGGCGCACTAAAGAATGCACAATTGTTCCGTCAAACCACTATGGTCCTATTCCTGGAATTCCTGTGGGGACCACCTGGAAATTCAGAGTGCAGGTTGGCCCTTTTTTTATTATTGTTGTTCGTTTTAAATGTAAAATCTTTTTTATCTTCTCATCTGTCTTAATTGCTTCATTACTTAGGTGAGCGAGGCGGGCGTTCACAGGCCACACGTCGGCGGCATCCATGGGCGCAGCAACGACGGCTCCTATTCACTGGTGTTAGCAGGGGGCTTTGAGGACGAAGTGGTGGGTTTGTACTCTGGCTGCTAGTCTGTTCAGCTACATGTTAAGCTCAGGAGTGTCTCATTCGCTCCTTTTCTGCTGCTGTTTGTGAACATCTGTGGTAGGACCGGGGAGATGAGTTTACCTATACAGGCAGCGGGGGTCGCGACCTCTCAGGAAACAAAAGGATTGGAGAGCACTGTTTTGACCAAACGCTGACTCACATGAATAGGTACAACACCTATAAAAGAAAATGCTTTTAAAAACCCTCTTTGCTTTAGAAATATGACTGCCAATACCCATTTTGTTAATAACTTGACCGATTGCAGGGCTTTGGCTTTAAACTGTGATGCCCCCTTGAATGACAAAGATGGAGCAGAGTCCAGAAACTGGCGGGCCGGAAAACCGGTGAGAGTGGTACGCAGTTCTAAAGGTAGACGCATCAGCAAATACGCTCCAGAGGAAGGAAACCGCTACGATGGTATTTATAAGGTAGAGCATCAACATAAAGACCTTGTTCCAATGATGCTACTTGAAATGGCACTGGTAAGGCACAAATGCTTTCTTCGTAGGTGGTAAAGTACTGGCCAGAGATTGGGAAGTGTGGTTATTTGGTGTGGAGGTACCTGCTGAGACGGGACGATCTGGAACCAGCCCCGTGGACCCCTGAAGGACTGGAAAGGATAAAGAAACTAGGGCTCGCAGTTCAGGTTAGACTTAGGGAACAAAGAAAGTCGATCCTCATGCAATTTACTGCAAGTAACAATCTGCAAAGGAGAAAATATATTTTTCACAGCACTATACATGAAACAAAGGTTCTTCTTGATTTCTTTTCCTCCAGTACCCGCCAGGCTATTTAGCAGCCATGGCTAACAAAACAAAGAAGGAGGCCTGTGCTAGACCCGGTCGTGGCGGTCGGAGCAAACACTATCCTGGGAGAGGGAGGCCGCGTAGGCCCAAGATTAAAGCAAAAGAGGTGGAGGAGGAAGAGGGGGCGGCGGCAGCAGAGGACGAAGAGGAGGACGTAGAGGGGGGTGAGGCTCCAGAAGCCCAGATGGAAGAGGATGCACCACAAAGTAATGGAGAGCCGAAGACAACCGGAGAAACTGGTGGGTGCTATTAGAAACGATGCAGGTCAGAAAAGGTGTTATGAGAAGAGGAGAGGTGAGCGTAGAGTGATCAATAAGAACACGACACATGAATAACTCCAAACATTCAAATTGCTTATAGATATACTTAGCTTTTATTTCTTAAGAGCTGTTCTTTTTCACTCTGCTGTGTTTTAGTTCTGCAAAGCTAGCTTCTGCTTCCTAAGTAGCTATGATGTCTTTAGCAGAGCCGTCACCAGAGACCGAGCCTCCGTCTAAACGCGTCAAGATCGAAGAAACGTTCCAGCTGACCGAGCAGCAACAACAGCTGATCCAAGATGACACAGCCAACAAAAAACTGTGGAGCGAAGCCATGGAGCACCTTAAAGAGGGACCGGTATAACTGCTAAAACATTTTAGTCTTATATCAGAAAACAGATCATCGTACGATTAATAAAAAGTTCTGAACTTTAAGGTTAAAAACGTTAGCTAAAACTAACATGATGAAAACTGGAATCAAAAAACATTTTCTTTAACTTAAATCAAAATTAAAACTAGGCTTTGCTAAAAACCAAAACTAACTGAAACTGTAATAAGAGTTACAAAAAATTAATTACAACCAATAGACTTTTAAAAGAGCAGTTGTTTAGTTTTTGTTTCTGTCTACCATAACGCAGTCAGGTCATTTATGTCACTGCAGTGATGCTTAGTCTTGCCCCTGGCATGTAATTCATATTACATAAAAACGACTATACTAGTGAATACTAAGCAATACTAAACTAAAATGACGCATTTTTAAAAAGTGAACACTAAACTACTGTATTTTCGGACTATGTTTTTTTTTCTTTAACTGGAAATGTACAAATATTCATGTATAAGCCACACCGGGCTTTACGCCGCTAGTATCTACTAAACTGAAGCTGTTAGGGGAGCTCTACACATAGCTAGAGTTGGGACGATGAAGAATGCTAGCTAGTGTTAGCTTTTTGGCTCAGAGCAAGGATCCTTCTTTCCTACAGAAAGAAGGATCTTTGTTAGCCCTTTATTTCTACTCTAAAAGAGTTGCGCACAATCTCTTTCGATGTTTCGACAAGCTAATGCTGCTTAATGTCAAAATGTGTCAGTTCAGGACTTTTTTTCTCTGTCATGCCTGCTGCTAACATGTTGTGCTAAATCAATATAAATCCCTTATTCTTATTCTTTTCCCTCTGGCAGTTAGGAAAAATCCACTGAAAAAGCACACCTGTCACTACCCGCTCCATCCTGGAAGCATGTTCCATCGGCTCATTTGCGTATGCGCAACCAGATATACATCCGGGTTGGCCTTGGTTTTATTTTGTTAAAAAAAACTAAATTAAATTTTTCCCTCCCCAAAAATAGTCAGCATTCTAAACTATAATGTGTTAAAGGTTAATAATATATTTCCTGAGAAAATAACGGTCTTAAAATCCTTTCTGTTTTATTGCTCGCCTGTGAACGATCTCTACCAGAAGTGGGATCCTATGCTACTTCCTGGAGCTAACTTTTTCGGCTTTGGATTTAAACATAAATCTAGTCTTTTTAAGTTTTATGTTTTCCTTTTGTGTTAACAGTATGATATATAGTGAGTGACCTACAGAAAGAAACAACTAAAAGGAAGATAAACATGGTTTAATCATATTTTGCCATACTACTCTTGAGCGTGTTCGATGATGACATCAGACAAGCAGTTTAAAAAAAGATAATACAAAAGGCATCAAAATTGTTGACAAGAAGTTTTTTTAAAGATGTGTATTAGCATTCTTTAGTTGGTCAAGGATAGAAATAAGTAATTTTAGTACCATAATTACATTAATTATTGAAACACGGATGTATTTCTAGTTGTCATGCACAAATTAGCTGATGGTACAGATTGTGCTTCCGGGACGGATCGGGTAGTGACAGCGCCTTCATATAAGCCGCATGGTTCAAATGGCAGAAAAAAAGTGCTGGCTTTTAGTACGGAAAAAACAGTAGGTAACAATCACTAAATACAAATTAAAACTAGAATAAAACAGAAAATCAGAAGTCAAAACTAAAAAAAACATTTTTAAACTGTTAAAACCTTGACACATAGGCGTAATAAAACACTTATTGTAGCAGAAAAAGGAGAGAAATGTGTGCTGGACTGTTTTTACTTTATTTCCTTTCTTAACAGTACTATATCAGTCATGCATTTTAACTAATGATAGCAAGCAAAAGTAAATAGCAGAATAATCTGTCTGGTGTTGACAGAGGTGTTTGGGAAGAGTTTCATGGGTGCAACCCACGTATTAAGCTCTCCTTTTCAACTCACTAATGTATTGTTATTGCAAATGTGCATAATTTAAAGAAAAACAAGCAAGCTTTCCAACCATAAAAGTTTTATTATTGGGGGGAAAAAAAACAAACCAAACAAAGTGTTCTCACTTTTTTTTTTACTGCCAAGTGGATAAATGAAAACCCTACATGAGCCTGGGGAAATAAGGTTTGCAAAGTACTCCCCATTAGATCTCTGGGTTGGAACCTTAAAGGTTTGGGAAATGGCCCAGTTCACCTTTCAATATGTTTAAAAGATTCCTTTTATGTACCTTTAATTCAAAAATAAAACGAAAACATCAGAGAAGTCTGAATCTAAATAAATTTGACTTTTTTTTTCCTATTTTGCTCTGCTTGTTATAAACGTTCTATTTCTTTAATATGCTCCCTTTAAAGAATTTCCTGCGGAAACTGGAGCAGATCTTTATGTGCGTCTGCTGCCAGGAGCTGGCCTTTCAGCCTATCACCACCGTCTGCTCACACAATGTCTGCAAGGTACACACCCTGTGCATCCCAGCAGATTAGATTTCTACATAGCTCCTGTAAAAATAAACAAAACTCCATTTCCTCATAATTACTCTGGCATTTTGTGTCCCCAGACTTGTCTGCAGCGGTCATTTCGGGCAGCGGTGTACACCTGCCCCGCCTGCCGACACGACCTGGGCAAGGACTATGTCATGAACCAAAACAAGAAGCTTCAGATTCTGCTTGACCAGTTCTTTCCCGGCTACAGCAAGGGCCGATGAGGTCCAATTTAGATGTATGGGTAGAACACGTGCACATAAGCATCCATTCTGTGCACCCCTGTATACAGTCAAGTACTTAGAGCTCCACTTTGAAATGCATTGCACTCACATAATGTACTTACCCACGGGCAAATGTATTTTGCATTTCCAGCCATTTATGTATACAATCATTTACACACAAACCACCTCAGTTAGAGACTGACCTCATCTGCTGAACTTGGACCATCTCCATTTACATCACCAGCCTGAAAATTTGAACTAAGGACATTTCTTCACTTCACTACTCCAGCCACCAGAAAGTGGGCACAAAAAACAAACGCACAATCCCACCCACCATCTCAAGGTTTTTTTTGTTTTTTTTTCCTCTGCGATTTTTTGTTTTCCTTCCACTATGATGCCCGCTGGCTCTGATAATTGACGCACAGTACATTGTTTGGGTGCAAAACTCCTGCTTGAAAGCGACACTTAAATTCCTGCCAACCTGCTTGCATTTTATGTACCATGCAGTTTTACACAAACTTGCAGAAATCAGTTTTAATAATCCCTCATTTGCAGTGTGGAGGTTTATGGTGCTAAAAGGAGCAGGTTTTAAGAAAAGATTCTCAAAGTAAGGAATTTTACACTGTTTTATAAAAGAAAATGAAGCACTATATTAGTGACTCGTGCTGTACGCTTCTTTCTAGGCATGTTTGATGTATTTTCCTGCATCAAGTTTCCGTGCTTGTGTCACTGCAAGTCGTCTTATTTCTTTCTATTCTAACAGGAAGGTCGAAAAAGGAGAACATGTCAATCAAAAGCTGTTACTACATTCTTTTTTATTTCTTTTTTTTTTTTTGGTAACGTGTCTTTTTAGGTTTATCTGAACTCCCACCTACATTTATACTAACCTCAAACCAGGGAAGGATTTTTGTAAAGATTTACTGCTAAATTGAATGAACCAGATCTTAATTTGACACCAGAAGAGTATGATTCTAAATTGCATTATAGGCATTAAGGTTTATCATTACTCACAAGAAAAAAAAAAATTCAAAAAGGAATAAATTACATTTACTACAGAAAAGCAACAATTATACCTTTTGCTATGGTAATAGTTTATCATTGTGATTTATAGCCTTATAATAATCATAAATAAAGCAGACTGAAACAAACATAATATTAGCTGGTTAATTAGTCAGGGTGTCTGCACAGACATGCTCTTTACAGCTCCCAAATGCTATTTTAAAAGAACATCGGTTTAGTTAGATTAGATTATAACACATGATTACCATATAAGAGGTAGCCTCCTTTCAGCCAGCTGGACTCCAGTGCACAGCAACACCCCAGGAAGGTTCTTTATGCTGCTATAGAAATACTTGATCATCCCAACACATTCTGAAATGCTGCCATAGATATCCAGCACTTTCCTAAACTTTTTTTTACCAGTTATACCAGTATAAACCTGCACAGCAGCAGTTTGAAAAATATGTTTTCAGCTAAGATAGAACAGCAGATGAAAGCAATGCGAGAGTGGTAACCTGGCTGTTTCCAACCAAAGAGGGCAACAGGTGCTCCAGCAAATTACAGAGTGAGAGAAATTAAGTGTTCGTTAACCTTTTAAATCATGCTAAATTGGTCAAGTAGACTCCCAAAGTAGATCTAAGATCCTCTAAATTAACTCAACATAGAGTATGTCTGAAGATTAGCCAATCAGGACTACAGCTCTACTGCCTTAAGCATCATATAATGCAGGAGGGAATATTTTCCAACTTGTTCCGACTTGAAAATCAATGCCTAAGATCAAACAGAAAGTCTTTGATATCTGTTTTTAAAAAAAACATACACATTTGCTCTTCTTAAAGAGATTTACAGGATGACAGTGCAAAAGAACAGATCGTTCTCAAATATAACTATAGCTCACATATAACACAATCAAAAAAATGTTGAAATGGAAAATGTTTCCCCTTAAATGGATATAAAACATAAAAACTACTGTTTATCGACATACTTAAGGATGTATGTCTTTATTTCATTGTCTACACATGAGATAAAACGTGTAGCCCCAAATAATAACCTTAAATCGACAGCTGTGATCATTATACAAACAATCCCATGTATACTATATGAATGAGTCCCACATTTTTTCTTTTAAAAAGTAATAACCAAAGCTCTAAGGTTTTCAGAAAGTACACATTATCTATTATGGATGAGGAAAAACAAATTTTATTTAGCTTGGCAAACAACAGAAGCCCTTAAAAAAAATCAATCTAATTAGCACATTTTCAATTGCTGTAACAATACCTAAGTAGCAATATTATAAAGATCTTGAAGATTCTAATTTTTTTTTTATCCTGAGTCACATTGACTTGGATTGTTTCCAAAGTTTATTACCCAAAGTGGTCTCGATATCCATATATGTTCACAATATGGATCGTTTTTCTCCACCATTTCTAGTGAAGAATAATTCTAAATGTGTTACATGCTTTAGAATGAATGCAAAATGATGATTCATTGTGACCTAGACACATTTGCACCTGCTGGTGTGGTACTTTAAAATGCCCCAGGTTGGCAGGTTTAATGGGAAATAAAACAAATGAGATGGAGAGCAGAGCCAGAATTTTTACACCGACCCATAACGTGGACAGAGGTCACCTGCAGGGTCACGGTTCAGATAATTAATTAGATCAGTTTGGGTTTTGTTATTTCTTTTTTTTTTTTGTGGGGAAAATGTAGCTCATGTTCAACTGCAAGTCCGTTAGCCCTCGTGGCAAAGCCAGGTTATATACGTCAGGCTAAATTTATACTTTAAGCCTTTCAGGCTCACATGTTTCTTTTCATATGCAAATCAGCACTTGTTCATCTACAGGCTGTTTGTGGTGATGTCCTTGTCTCTGTCGTCATTCAGGATTTTTTTTTTTTTATCAGCAACATGCAAATACAAATGCTACTACAGTCTTTAAAGCTAAATGTGATGTGTATTATCTTGAGATTTTTTTTCTTCTTGCATTGACTATGAAGCTAACAGCCCTCCTTTCTTTCTGCTGTGACCTTTGCTCCTATTCTGCTCTTTTTCTGCTCTCCGTGAAACTATAGTACTAACTTCTAGACGTCTTGTGGACGCTTGGCTGCAGTGCCGTTTAATTTTTTATTTTTTTGCACTCTACTGAAACACAGGTTGCGCGGTCACATTTGGTTATCCTTGAATGCTAACTGTTATCTGTCTGTACTCTGATTTTCTTAGTTGATTACGTTCGGTTTTAATCATTAGTCGGTTTTATGTTGGAAGCCTCAAATATTTTGCAGCACATGCCAATCTGAAAAGTTTCGTCGCTTCATATTGTGATCTGAAATTTTATACATGTCATGATTCTTGATATGTACCAATTAAATATTTGGTTTCAGGAAAAAGAAACGTCTTTTTTTTTGTATGCGGATTTCATAAAATAAAAGAATAAGATCATGTTGTTCTAGTTGGATTAAGGCTTATTGTAATAACTTAATCATTCTGGAATTACTCTTTGACAGAACATATAGCCACATCCCTTCTCACAGTTAAAAAAAATACTTTATTTCTCTGTGTGACACATGTAAATGTACAAACTTTCATGTTTTGGGTTTTATAAAGAACTTTAGCCCATTATTTTGAATAACTTTTTTACAAAAAGCTGTAGTCCCAATTTGACTGTCATTCATGTGTGTGTTTGGGTAAAGACATTCGTAAGGCTGAAGATTGCCTGGATTCAGCACAGGAGTCTGGAGCTCCATTCCTATAGTGTTTTCCTCCGTTTACCCTGCTAACGGTTAAGAACTAGGAGCTAAAGATCAAGCACCTTCCACATAAGGCAGTTTTTAAGGAGAGCAGCCCATAAGAAGCATGGATACCTGCAAAGTATACTTAAAAAAAAAAACAATTTAAATTATAACCAGACTTTGAAGTTTAGTTATCAATAAAAATGTTTGGTCATAACTCAAGTTCCCCAAAGGTTATCGTTTGGGAGACAAATTATCCATGTTGTACATGAATGATATATGCAATGCACTTATTGCTCCATGGATTTGAAAAAGGCTTTTTCGACATTAGCAGATGTGAATTTTGAACCAAAGAGAAAAGATCTTGATTTTAGAGTATTGCTACAAACTTATCTATTGAAGCCCACATACAACTATAAATATCACAGCAATTTTAGGAAACAAAAAGCTGCTGAGGCTGAGGTGGAGCTGTTCTCTGTCCGACATGCTTGTTGAAAAAAAGGATCCGCTGAGATCAAAATGGTGCTGATGTGAACTTTAACATAAAAGGTATAAGCAACGCAAGATAATTTATCCAAAATATAACTTGTCCAACGTAGATCAAGGCGATTTGTATTGCGGTCCAAAAAATACAGCAGCCCAGTCACCCACTCTACCCGTGACACTCCAACAGGTAATATGCCCAATTACAAAACTCCGCTCACATCCAGTTGATCCATTCCTCTACAAACTGAACCATAACAGCTATAAACCCAGACGAACAAAGCATCTTTTCATTTATGGCTCCTACAACAAATATTGAATACATGTTGATTTGAAACAGAATATTTAGTATATAAGCTCCAAATTTGAACAGTCAGTGATTGGAGATACTTTTAACCTCCATATTTTAGGAACAATATACAGGTAAACGATCCAATGTGTAGCTTAATCCTCTGAAGCCCCCCAGTGGTTAAAATATAAATGTCAAGCTTGTTTGGATTTGTTGCATGAAGTGAAGGGAAGATTACAGATACTAGTTACATTGTGCTTGAAGCACATAATTAAATAGGTATTCAAGCTGACTTATGCCGCTGACTACTTTCAAACAAAATGCACAAAGAGAAAAAAGTTTTTTTTTTGGTTTTATTATCACAGAAGCACAACAGGTACCACTATGCAGGACATAATACCACCATGAACAAAAGAGTAAAGGAATGCTAATGCCAGAGGAGAACCTAATCCAGAAACACCACAGCATTTTACTTCCAACCTTAAAACAATACTCTACTATAGCCTGACAAACTTGGGGAAAAAAAAAAAAAAAAAGTCAAAAGCTATTTGGATTATTTGTTTTGTTTCATCAAGTACCATTTGTCACTCACTAGCACTTCGATTTTATACTGAATCACTTTCATACACATGCATTGGCTTTCGCCAATTTAAATGCACATCTAAAATTAAGTGTTTCACTACTCGGCTACAAAGTACCAATTATTGGGGCTAATTAGTCAATATAAAGGGTATTACTGTGACAAAAAAAGCTGGTCCCATTGAGAAGTATTTCAGTCTAGGGAGAATTATTTAGAAAACTTAACAATTTAGCCAATCCCAACAACACTGGAGTATCCATGTATAAACCTGATGACTTTTTTGTACATTCAAGAAATTAAAGTCTATTGTAAATATAGTCAACTAGCTATGAAAATGGCAAAAGGATAAAAAAAGAAAAAAAAGTATATTTTTAAGACCAGATTAATATAACATACATATATTTATATGCTTGAAACAAAAACACAATGCTAACTTTTCCCTTGATCAGAAATTTATGGTGAGCTTTAATAGGAAAGCTACAGCTTCGGATTCAACACAAAACAGCTATGGATGTAAATAAAGCTGAAACTTTAAGATAATGGGGAGCATGTAAACTAGCAGGTGGTGAAGAAGATGTCTGGAGGACTACTCATCATCTGAGGAGTCCCTGTCAAAATTATAGGCCATGAAGAAGACGTCAGGTCGAGGAGGGACGAGGGCATGGCCCGGTTTCACAATCTCAAAGCCCAGGAAACTGAAGGTACGCACCAGCTTAGCTGCAAAAATGAGACAAGGAGGTTACATTACTAGAATACTAATAACAGGTGTGAGCAAAACACAGAATCAAATGAGACACTCACCACGATCATCTCTGTTCTTGTAAAAGCAGACAAAAACACTAGCAACTTGCAGATGTTCTTCAGCAAACTCCAGGAGAGCCGCAAAGCTAAGAGAAAATGACGTAACGTGATAAGTAAAAAGAAGTAAAGGTTTTTCAGACCCACAAATTGTACATTTATTCCGCCCACTAGATACAGTAGAGATGGCCGATATGGACTTACATTGTAAAACATTAAATGTGGTGTATTTTTGTTATTAAAATTATTTACTAATCAATTTAAGCCTATAACAAACTGCAGAGCTCTCTGTCCCTCACTGAAGTCAAAAGCTTTGTAGACAGAATACTTAAAATTCACAATATGCATGTTAGTGAAAGTATTTATGCTTTATGATTCATTTAGTGGGGAATAAATAAATGTAACAATACAGCCAGCTTTTGTGGTTTTACAAGACATTAAATGGAATTGATTGTGGGTGTGGACAAGTCAAAGTACTTAACCATCCTTTTTTTTTCTGCATAAACTTAAATGATAACAAATGTCAAACCTTACAAACCAGCACAAATGAAGAAAGGCTTCAGCTTTCTGTTCTCACCTCTCTTTGCTGCCTTCTGGAAAAGGGTCAAGAAGAGGCATCTCCACATAGAGTGCACTGCTGTTGAGGACAGCATCCCACTGTATTGTCTTGGTAGCTGTGGGACGACTTTGGAAGTGGATTATTCTTGGACGTCCATTTCCTGCAGGCTCTTCCGTTACTGTCAATTTTCGGTCCTGAAATACAAAAAAAGTTTTTTTTTTTAAGAAAAGCTGCAGTTTAGATGAAATAAAGGTAAAAAGACAAAAGATCAAAACGTATCAGAGGTACAAATGAAACATGGCAAAACCCAACAGTGATACTGTTTTATAGATTCGACATCCTGTATATTTAGAATGATCACATTTAAAGTGCTTTTACAAAAGACATGGGTGCATTTATCAGCACGTTTAACTCCTGTTCGTTAACTTACTGAGTAGAGCGGCCGAGCTGAAGGAGCGTGATCCCGTGTGCCATTCCCTCGCCCACCTGGGATCTTCAGGGGTGGGAGAGGGGCATCAGGAGCACCACAGAGGCCCTGGGCCGCGGGTACTACTACAGTGCAGGGACAAGCTGCAATAGGAAATGGAGAAATGCATGGACATAAGAAAAATACTTAAGGTTCCTTTAATAGAAGTGCTTCATTTCAAAGCATCCTATTCAAGAATGATTCATCATCTACTGTTTAAAATAAATCGTCATTGTTTAAGAACTTTAACGATACAAAGAAATATAAATACTAAACTCAGACCGTTTTCAAAAAGTATTCAGAAAAGGTAAAAGAAAGCTTTGCAGTAGGGCTGCAACAACGAATCGATAAAATCGATAAAAATCTACTTTTAAAAGCGTTGGCAACGAATTTAATCATCGATTAGTTGTGTCGCGCGATTAATGCGTCATCCGCCGCTGCCGTCATCCGGGGGAAGAAAAAAAAATATGGCGGAGCGAGTCAGCGCCGCAGTTGCAGTGTTGTCAACTCAGCGACTTTTCAGACCCCTTCAGCGACTATTTTTCAAAAAAGCGACTAGCGACAAATCTGGCGACTTTTTACGGTGTCACTGGCGGCTTTTGCCTGCCGTGGGGCGCCTCCCCCATCCCAACGCCTTTCTCCCTCTCCCACAGGAATCCCTCTCAGCACGGCAGTCAGAGCCGCAGGATTTTAGTGAGGAGTTTACCCTCAGCGTCCAGACTGCAAATGAAGCGCGCATGCGCCGGGATTGACGGCGCAAATTGATCACAATAATTAAAATAGCCTGCGCTTTGTAAAGTGAAAAAAGTCGTAACATGCAACTTTTGTAAAACAAATGAACATGGCGCGGAAGCACCACTGTTATGACGCAGCACCTGAAAAGAAAACACGTTGGAGCCTTCAATGGCAGTGAAGAGAGCTGATCAGCAGGATGAGTAACCATGTTTGTTTCATTTTAAAGAGGGGAAACGTAACGTTAGTTTCTCAGGTAGCTCATCTGATGCTTTCCTTACCTTGTTAGTAGGTTACAGACAGTGATAAGGTTGGCTACTTATTTTACTTTTAATTTCATTTAAATTTGTTTAAGCAGCGTTTATATTTTCTTTATAAATAAATTAACTTGCAAATTATGAGGGCAAGGCTTTTAAAGTTTAAATCTTCTGGCAAAGATAAAGAAAAGAAGATCCTGCAATTTATGGAAGTAAAGCAGAACAAAATCCAGCAAGATCAGTAATATGTCAATTAATTATCTGCCACATTCCCATGTAAATACCTGTCTTTGGAGGATGTGTTTTTTAGCACCCCTAGTTCTCTCATTTTTATTCCAAATACAATTTATAATTTGAATCATAGGTCTATTTTTATCTCTATGGTTCAGTATTTTCTCAAGCAGCAACTTTAACTGCTATACTTTCCTGTCTTAAAAGGCAGAACTCTTCTAGTCTAAAAAAACTCATTTGTTGAAATGGGGGGACCTATTGTTTGAACCCCTTAGGGGCTTTAAAAAACAAAAATGCCTGTCTCTTTTTGCGCTTTATGAAACAAAGTAGCCTATATTTTGTGGATGTACAGCTACATTTCTCATGTAAGTTTGCGTAGTTTTAACACAAACATTTATTTTTCATATTGCACCAGTAAAGTTAATGAGCAACCTGTACTTGTGTGCTTGTTTGTTCTGTCTAAAATTTTTTATTTTGGAATAAAGAGGTTAATATAAAAAAAATTTTTTGTCCGATTCATCGATAAAATAATCGGCCGATTCATCGATTTTTAAAATAATCGTTAGTTGCAGCCCTACTTTGCAGTATTTTCAACAATGTCAGTGATTCTATTTAAAGTCCTTGAAACGTTAATGGCTAACAGTGAGTTGATCTTTTTGACTTCAATCCAAAACAATATTGAATTATAGTAAATATCTTAAACATAAGTGATATTTTTGTCATTACGTTGACGAAATGCAGTTTAGAACCACAAAATGTTTCCAAAAACTTAAAAATAAGGCAAATGCAATTCAAGTCTTTAATAGTTACTATTCCCAGACTTGGGGAGAAACACCTTCTTCAAAAGACGTAAATCAAATGAGTAGTTGTTGGAGATCTGATTCATTTTAAACTCGCAGATAAGTAGTTCTCTAGCGCCCTCTACTGCAGGTAAAAAAAAAACTAAATGAATTGACTACCGTATAAAGATGAATAAATAAAAACTCGCATTATAAAATCCAAATGGAGAAGAAAAAAAATGTAAAGATGGTTAAAAGAATCGCATACCTATAAATAACCCCTGACACATTTCAAGTGAGCATTTGAGAAATGGTGTACTGAGATCAGCACTACTGTAAATTTTGCCACAAAAGTAGAAGAATCTAACTAACTTTATTTTTTCGTCACAATATGAAGGGCATCGTGTTCTGGCAACGTTTCCCCTTACTTTCACGTTAAAATGAAACAATTATGCAACAATAATTAAAGCTATTCTTGTTTTCCTGAGCCAACTGTCCCTATACCTAACCTGATAGTTACAATGTTCTCCAGAGTTCAGTCAGAGCTTATGTCCCCACGGGCCGTTTAAGCAAACATTTGACTCAGCTTCTGACCACTGTGAGGGTACTGACTGCCAACTACGTCATTTTTTTATATAATTAATACATTAATAATTATCTGTTTGTTCCAGTTTGAATTAATTATATAATATCAAAGATGTTATCGCATAGGAAAAATACAACAGAGAAATGCATAACTTAATAAATTATTCAACTGTGGCTAAACCGTTAGCTTGTTAGCCCATATTGCTATCGTGACGCAACACAGTATCAGCAGTTACTGTCAAAGACCGAAGAAGTTGACTGTCGTTAAACATACATTTTAGTTTTTATTTATAACGTTTTGAAAACTTCGAAATAAAAAAGGAGCTCCCACGCAAATTTATATTTTAATAAACATTACGTTTTCAGGTATCATATTGTTATATGTGGCTACTTCCGTTTTTATGTTCTTGCTAGCTCTACCTCTTAGCCACCCCTCCCCCACAGCACCGTTAGCACAGCTACGTGAGCAACGTTTTCATCCTTTACTTACTTCTCAATCATGTCACAGATACCGCTACTTAAATTCGCCATGGTAGTACAGGGCTGAGGTTTTCCTTCTTTCTCGCGAGCAAAGCAATGACTGTTTAGGATCCGCTGGAGGTTGGATTTTACCATCCGGCCTCGGGTAGAGACACGACTGGCTGACCTCTCTCTGCTATGCTAGGCAGGGTAATGACCGTCTTGTGGGTTGGCAGCAGTTTTTACGGAAGCCGAGACGCTGAAAAGTCAAATAAACGTTATGTGGCAATATTACTTCCTTTCAACATAAAAGTCTTTCCAAGTTGTTTGACAAAACAATTATCCTTTGTTTTTATTACCAACGTGTAGGAAAACGTGTTGACTTAAGAACTTAATAAGACAGAAAAAATGGTATTGATTTTGTTATTGTGTTATGATTTTGATTACTCTCTGCTATGACTATGACTATGAACATTTTCAATTTAAATGCAAAAATATTATTTAAATAATTTTTCTTATCTTGCACCAGCATTAAACATACTTTATATACTCATGTGAAAACCGACTAACGTCATACATAATGTTAATTGTCCGAAAAATAATGATAAAAAGTGATTAAAATATGTAGGTATTCAATTACAAAGCACATATCGACTTTGTTTCTTGTTTTGTTTTGTTTTTTGTTTTTTGGAACCAGAAACCTTTATTTTGAAAGAGACAGTAGAAAACGCAGAGCAACCGTTAACTTTACAAAAACACTAATTAGCTAGCTAAAGCTAACAGTAAAGTAGGAAAGGAAACTACTTTACGTGGCTTTTTCATAGAAAAATAAAAGTCTGCGCCCCAACTTTGACTAAAGCTCTTATGATACACCTATAACTGCAATTGTTGCTGTCACAATATGTTGTTGTCGCATTTATAGAATAGTTAATCTGGTGTGTTTACATTTTTTTGGTCAGCTTTGTAAGTGGTTGCAGCTGTTGTGTTAACTAGATACTGAAAAATAAATACAAATCACAATTCCCTTGTTTAATATTTCAAATTTAATTTCGTACCTAGATGGTCAAAAAAGAGAAAAAAAAAGGCCCATTTAATTTGGCTTTGGGTTCTAAATATGTGAAAATATAATAAATCCCACAGCATGACATTCTACCACCATGCTTTACCAAATTAGATAATGATACTATGAAGTGGCGGCTAGTGGTTAGGGCACTGAGCTGGAATCCAGAGGTTCTGAGTCCCTGAGCAAAGACCCTTAACCCCATACTACTCCCTGGGCGCTGCACCATGGAGACCCTTAACCCCATACTACTCCCTGGGCGCCGCACCATGGCAGTCCACTGCTCCCCAAAGGGGATGGGTTAAATGCAGAGTTCATTTAGTAGCTCTGTACTTGTGACAGTAGAATGACAATAAAACGCTGGGGAAAAAAAAAAAAAAAACTTGTTAATTGTTGAGTTGAGTTTAGGAGCATGTTGTATTTTACACACATTCTGATAATCGTACAGGTGCATTTGGGTAACCGTTTTTGTTTCTTTGTTTTTACTTTTTGTAAGCTCTGCCATGGTGCCAGGCTACCTTTTTCATTTACCATTTTCACCATGACTGCTGTTTAGAAGAGGTAACAGTCTGTGGGTAGACAGACACATGAACGAAACCATACAGCAATTCACGTTCTTACAGCCTGCTGTCAGAAAAAAAGAATTTAGTATTTTTTCATTTTTTATATCACAGCAACAAGCTTTGTTTTTAGGGGGCATTTAACCATTAATAGGGCACTTAGTGAAATACTTCAAATATCTAAATTTCAATCAAAGAGTGCACTGCAAATAACTGAAATCTAAGTATGTCAATTTTTCTTAAAATGAGTGCATTTTTATTTAATTGAGCAGGTAAGTGACACACTTTGTCAATGGAACAAAAACAAAAAAATACATTTAAAATAAGGAAAAGAATGCACTCTCCTATTTCAAGTGCAAATATCAAATAATCTAATTTTAACGATAAAAATAGTCCTAATTTACGTACTTAAATTAAGGGTAAATACACTTAACTTAAGACATTTTCGCTAAGATCTTAGAGGTCCAACTTAGATCTTTTTGTAGTGTGTCATTGGAATCCAGGACAAGACATTATTACCTTTGTAACATTTAAAAAATTTGGATATTTTGATGGCAAAAATGAATGTCAATGTAGTAACAAGAAACTCCAACTTGACCGACTATATCAAGAAAAATAAGAAAAGTGCTTCTATAAGAAATTAATGAAAAACACTCTGAGAGTGAAAGAAACACATTTATTTTTAGGTACATCACAACCTTAGAGGCTTATAAACCTTTTAACTTTACTTTTTAAATTTTTCAATTAGCTTTTCGGGGCTCCATTTGTAAGGGGTATGCAAGTGATCAAAAATGGTAACTAGCTGTATAAAGGGTTAATGTAATAGTCGAGCTTGAAGTTGCTTACAAATATGACATCTAAGAAAAGTTTTTTGTTGTTTTATTGTTATAAATAAATATCTGAAAATGGGATTAATGTTTTATTCATATTTTCTGTCTTTACATTAAGACCCTTGAGTTATACTGTTTAGGCCTCAGATGTTTAAATACATAACATTAGACAACAAACACTATCAGAAAGGACCAAGGAAGACATCAGAAAGGTCAGGATTACATCAGATGTTAGAAAATAAATACCATCATTTTAAAAAAAACTTGCAAAACTATAAACTAACCAAGAGGTAAAAAAATAAAAGTACAGCATTAATCAGAGAAGCAGCCAACAGGCCCATTGTAAATCATAAAGCTGCAAAGACCCAAAGGAAGTGTATGTTGAGAAAAAGTCACAGGGGATTTTGTAATTTGCTAAGAACCACATATATCCCAGCAGCCATAACCGTAGCAACACCTGAGAGCAAAAAACAAAAAATGACAAGACGCCATTCCAATTATTAGACATGGTAGTGGCAGCATCATGACTGTGGTCCGATTGAGGTTGAAACTATGGATGTGGCCAAACTCAGGACAATGCTGCAAAGGACTTGATGACACTTCAGACAGGGCAGTGACCTAAAATACGACCACAGCTCCAATAGTTTGGGTAAAGCAGGTAATACTGTGATGCATCTTTTAGTAATTTGTAATTCAGCTGTAAGTCAACAAAGTTTGTAATCAAAAATATTGACCACAACCTAGTAGGCCTACTAAATGTAAAATAAAGAAAAAATCATGTTTATAACCAGATGCAAGGATTTTTAATTATTTGTATTTCAATAAGTTATCTGGTCATTGTAACACATTATAACTGAAACTTCACACGGAAATATCCCCTCTTCTTTACCTTCATCCGCATTCATGCAATACAGCACCCTCCCTCTCCGTTTGATTTGTCCCACACTGCTACCCGTCGGTCGTCTGAGAGAAATCGCTTCTGTGCGCTGCCGATGTACAGCAGGCTGCGATAAAAAATGGAAAGCGACACGGCCGTCCGGAGGATAAAAGCCTCCGGGGCTCCGCGTTACGCAGCGTTGGATGGACAAGCAGCCCGGTGCGAGGATAACGGCTGCAGCGGCGAGCCGAAGAGGAAGCCCGAAGTGCGGCTGCTGCTGCTGCAGGAAGGGCTGGCGGCTGCCCTGCTCTCCGGGTTTGTTTTGCTGCTGTGGGGAGTCGTTCATCTCTCGCTCCAGCAGCTTGTCATCGGGGAGCCGAGCGGAGACTTCAACGCAGGAAGAGCGAGGTGTGTTTGCTGCTTCTTTAGGATCACATTCATATATAATGAGGCGAATCTTTATTTCTGTTCGGGTTAAAGACTCACCTTCAAAAAAAAAAAAAAAAAAGCTGTTTTATTCTCTTCCGGGCTCACCTTTACCTGCAGGCTGCAGAGGAGATAACAGGTGTTCACAAGTTTTATTGATTTGATCTGTGGTGGAATAATTACAAAAAAAGAAACTTTATTTCCATTTGTCCAATTTGCCCAAAAAATTATTTTATTTTATCTGTTTTCCTTGTAGAACTTTGAGGTGTCAAGTCATACATATATTTATATTAAAATTATTGTTTTATTATTATCAGCATTATCTCAATATTATAATTTAGATTATAATGTCTCAATTAGAAATTAGAGGGAAAAAAAATACTAATATATTTTTTTTCTTTCAACATACACATGCATATATATATATATATATATATATATATATATATATATATATATATATATATATATATATATATATATATATATATATATGCATATTTGTGTGTGTTTGTGTGTATGTATAGGATAGGAAGCTACCTAGTAAAGGCTTTATAGAGGCATTCTAAAGTAACCTGTTTTGTAAATAGTTCTTACCTGACTGTTTTTAAAAGTCACTATAAATACAGGTGTTTTGTGAAGGTCTTTTGGAGAAAGCAAGCAAAACTTAGACTTCCTAGATATGGCTTTCCATCCTAACTGAGCTATACATCAATGATTACGTTGAAAAACAGCTGAGAAGATCATAATAACTCTGGGGGAGCCATCCAAAGGACTTTTTTTACTCACACAGTCTGGAAACTGTATTCCTGATGGGAGAAAGGCTAGAAAAACAGAAAGACAAGTATGTGAAGAGTACTGCAGTCTGTTCAGTTTGAATGTCATCACAACCCTTATAGGAGCCATTGGAAATATGGGCAAAGGTTATGGAGGAAAGGAACATCATGCTGGACTCGCTTTCCTGTTTGAAAAATATGTCAAGCATCTTACTTATTAAAAGCAGCTGCAACATTTTTCAGATTAAAGGATCATTTTTCCTCGCTGTGCATTTTAGCCCCTATATAGAGGAGGAGGGGGGGGGGGTGTATGGATTATGGTGCAAAATCTGAGGTCAGCACAACTGGGGGTTGAGCTCTTACAAAGTGCTGGGCAGTAGGATTTTCTATCATTTAGCCGCTTGCAGCATAAATTAGTGCTGCATGTGACATGATTTAGAGCTAAGAGCTTCTTTTGTCTGCAATCTGGAAATCCAGATAGAAGCGAGAGGTTTAACTCAGATCATTAAAAAGACTGCTGGGTAAATGCAGCAACTGACACTTCACCTGCTGACAGCGTGTTTTTAGAAGAAAAAGGCAAAGGATAGTCTTTCACTTCCCATGGTTTCAGGACAGATATTTATTTGCAGGTGATCAGCAAGTGAACTTTATAGTAGGAGAGAGGATTTGTGCTCATGTGGGCTTTGTGGACAGCATTAGAAAACTTAGTTAAAAAAAAATGTAAATAAAACTTAGTTTGTAAGGCTCTAACTGTTGCTATAAGCTCCAAAATACCAGGTTTATTTCTCCTTGTTATCATGATTATGTTTGCATAAATTCCTGTTTTGCTTCTTTCATATATAAAATCTTGCAAAGACTGATTAAAGTAGGGCTGCAACTAGTTAGTTTGCAAATCGATTAATCTGTTGATTATTTTTTAAATAATCAATTAATAATCGGATAACCAAAGGCTCCTTAAACAAGACTTTTAACTAAATTAAACTAGTTGAAACTAAATTTTTCCACCAGAGGAGTTCTGTAAAATGCAAAATGTTTATATATATTTTACAATTTTGATATAACTGTTGCTGTCAGCTAAAGGCATGTTTTAGAGTCTCTTATACTCCAGTTAATGATGAATCACTTACTGAAATAATTATCAACTAATTCTTTCAGCCCTAGACTGAAGTAAGATAGGTCTTCCTTATGTTTTTAGGATGTTTTCTTGTGGTGATGCAATGTTTAGTCTGACAGCTTGAAATTAAAGCTGTTGTTGGTGTAACAAACACACAGGGTGTGGCCGCCACCATCTTAACAAGCTGAGCTGCAGTGTTACCTTTCACACCTGTTGGTGACCCCTCTTTTTTCTCTTGTTCGTCTTTAATTTCAGACGACACCTGGAACAGATCACCAGCGTGGGCCCCCGGCCCGCTGGCAGCCAGGAGAATGAGGTCCTGACGGTAGGCTACCTGTTGGGACAGATAGAGGACATCAGAACCAGGACGGCAGCGGGGCCTCACCAGCTCACTGTGGACGTGCAGCGTCCCACCGGCTCATTCTCCATAGACTTTCTAGGGGGGTTCACAAGTTTCTATGACCGTGTCACCAATGTTGCAGTGAGGCTGGAACCCAAAGGTGGTGCACAGCACCTGATGCTTGCCAACTGCCACTTTGACACAGTGGCCAACAGCCCAGGTAGATATTCCCTTTTTAAGTTCTTCTTTCACATAAGGGGTTCAGAGGCAGTGAAGAGGGGATGACACACCAAACCTGACGCGGCAATGCCTACAGCATCAGACACACATCCAAAAAACACCTTTCCAGGTCCATCTGGTTGGAAGCCAATGCTTTAAGGTGCCACCCCTGCCCATCCATTTTGAACCTGTTCTTTTCATCTATTCAAAAACTGTCAAGTTTGATGGTAAAAAATTGAGGCCCATTTTTCTAAGTTGCAAATCTAATGCATCTGAAAAGCACAAAATGATGTATGTTGGTAACAAGAACCACCAAGACGCAGGTCTTCCATATTACATTGGGATGCAGGAACAATCCGTGTATGGTTCGTTCTTTGGTTTTTTCGTTTCAAAACAAAAACGAAAAAACAAAACAAGCATTTGGTTTTTCTGTTTTTCCGTTTTTAAAACCTAAATCGAAAAAATGAAAAATCGAATTAATAGAAAATCAACAGCGTTTGAGTTTTGTTTTCCCATGTAAATGAAAATAAAATACGGTTGTTGTTTTAATATGTAGCGGAACCGGAAATGAAGTAAGTCGCCAAAGAAAAATCATCACAGTGAATGAAGACGCCATCAAAACAAACCATTTCTAAACAAAAGGCAATGGCTGCACTTGAACCGTTTTCTGCATTGATTATCGAACTTTTTAAGAGAGGAAAAACACGCTCTGAAATCAGTGATGCTTTGAGCCGCCATGGAGCTCCACATTGCGCCGATTATAAAAACAAACGTTTCTATTTTGGTAGTGCTAACTGAAGAAGTTCTTCTTGTGGATTGTAATGGCGGTTGGCAAGAAATTGAAGGCGTACATTACCGCCACCTACTGGTAACTAAAAAAGTTATGTGTTGGGAGTTCAGGTCTTCATTTCCAGTTCTGCCATAAGGTCCGTTGAATTAACAACAAAATAAAAGTTTTTCTTTGGTTTTAACCATTGCAGTTAAAAAAAATTCCAAAACGTACCCTTTTTCCATTTTTGCAAATACCATTTTTCTAATTTCGTTTTAAATGAAAAAACCAAAGAACGAACCATACACGGATTAGGAACCAGGTACATTTATATTATATATATATATATATATATATATATATATATATATATATAAAAAAGTTTGTGTATATACAGTAAATAAACCACACTTATCCATATTGAAGATGTCTTATTCCATTTGTAACTGCTCACAGCATACAGACTATCATCCTTACAGAATAAAACAACAACATTCAAGTCACTAATTTGTTGTCGGACTGGTCAGGAGTAAGGTTACTCTGATTCAAACTACTATTAAAGCTCTATTTTAACACTGAGATACAATTACTGACAAGGATGAACACCAGATAGATGTTAAATAATAATTTCCAAGTTTTAATTCCCTCTTATTGATGTTAAGATGGATGGAAGAATGTTTCCCAAGCCAAAAGATTTAGCTATAGAGACATAGAGGTGTTACCATGTAGGACCTTTTCAATGTTTTTTTCTCCACACCCTGTGAGAGAGTTGAGAACACAATAGTTTCTAGATCACACACACATACAATCACACTTTGAGTCACACAGAAAGAAAAATAAACCCACAAGGTGTGGACCACAAAGATAAACATGCATGAAGAACATGCAGGCTGGATATGATATGCTGGATTTTGAAAACAAAGCCAAATGTGAGCTTGTGAACTACTGCGTTTCAATGTTTCTGTCGACTCTCACATGGATTTAATGGAATGAGGAGGAATACATTTCCAGTATTAGTTGCAGGGATAGAAGCAGGAAAGACGTGCAGACCAACAGCTAACGAACCTCACACTGCTTCCTAACGAACACATTCGCTCTAAGACGCTGGAGCACATGATGCCTTTGATCTTTACTTCACTTTTTCTCTTTATTTCTTAACTTTTGCTCCTTTCTGTTAGTCAGTCTAGTCAGCCTGAATCACACGCTCTGGTCACATGCTCGTTTTCTTTCTTCCCGCTCTGACTCTGACTCTGACTCCTTTGTGACCGTGTTACTTTTTACTTTTCCAGCTGAACGTTTTCCTGCCCTGTTTTTGTCCTAACTTATTGCCTCTTTGTTCTTTCCTGCCCATAAACCCTGCTGGTTTTGCATGGCACACAGTTGCATCCCTCTTTATGAAGGACTTCCTGCATTTTTTGCTTCCTGCTAAACCCATCGGTCTGATAAGTGTTCATTGTTTCTGTTCCTGCAGCACATCAGCCCCTCTTCTCATTTCAGGCGCCAGTGATGATGCAGTGAGCTGCGCTGTGATGCTGGAAGTCCTGCACGCTCTTGCCAACCAGTCCACTCCTCTCCACCATGGCGTAGTATTCCTCTTTAATGGGGCAGAGGAAAATATCCTGCAGGTGAAAATATCCACACGTTAGCAGACCTTTGGCTGTGTTTTGTCTTTGTTAGCTCAGTTATCTGTATCTGTTCTTATTCCTTCTGTTGATTATTGTATTTCAGGCCAGTCATGGTTTTATTACCCAGCATTCCTGGGCCAAACAGGTTCGTGCTTTCATTAACTTGGAGGCAGCAGGCGTTGGCGGCAAGGAAGTTGTTTTTCAGACGGGTATGAAAGATTCATATTTATATTTCTTGGCTTTCGTTGGGTTTTCTTTTCAGCAGTATGCATGTTTGTTTCCCCTTTTGCTTTTTCACACGGAAAGTGTGAAGGTGTGTAAAACCTACATAACCCTTTTAATAAAAGGTTTTTCTTCATTTCTGCAGCTTCTAATCTTAGAGCCGCATTTTATCATTTTCTTTATTTGTAATTCAGATAAATCACACATCTATTTTTATTCTAACATGTTTTCATATCCCCTGAAATCTTTCACATCGTGTCACTTTAGGGCCACCAACCTTTACGTATTTCTTAAGGTTTTATTGGGAAAAAACTCAGAGTAGTGCATTAATCTGAAATACAACATGGTTTACAACCAAAAATCTGAAAAGTGTGCAAGCATATGTATTCAGCCCAATTTCCTCTAAAGCCTTGAAATAAAAGCCAGTGCAGCCATTCCCCTTAGGGAGTCACCTCTAGCGTCACAGAGGTTTGTTGTAGAGGACATTAGTTAATGAACGCCATCATGGGAGTCAATAAATACAGCAGACGGGTCAAGAAGAATAATGTTTTGGAGACGTCTAAAGCAGGATTATGTTCTGAAATAATTTTCTATGCTTTGAACTCTTTACTTAGTGAGGTATGATACACAAGTTTAATACGACTGCAAATCCACCAAAGTGCAAAAACACTGCACATCTGAACGCATCAAGGTGACGGCAGGGTTATGCTGTGGGAAAATTCCCTAATTAGGTGATTCTGAAAGCAATTAATTGATGTTTTTTTAGGGGTACCAAAGCATAAGATTATTAAATAAATCATTTGGCAAACATGTTAAAAACCATCTGTTTTCCTTCTCCCCTAGTTATACATTCATTTGTGTTAAAAAGTGCTTAATTGTTGACAGAATATGAGAAAAAGGCCTTAGCTGATTTGCAAAATGTTAAGTTATTTAGAGGCTAAAATGATAATTTCATTTAATCGTAATTTCATTTTGAGTAAAACCTTTATATAATTGAGCAGCAAATGCCAGAGAAACCTGATAATTTCCCTTTTTTCCTGTTGTTCTTTATCACCTTTCCTATTAAAGGACCAGAGAACCCCTGGCTCGTCCAGGCCTACGTTCACGCAGCTAAACACCCCTTCGCCTCCGTGGTCGGACAGGAGGTTTTTCAGAGTGGCGTCATTCCCTCTGACACAGACTTCCGCATCTATCGGGACTTTGGTAACATCCCAGGTAGGACCACCTACAGCTCTGATCTCAATGACCTGTGAAATTGATTTAAGCACGCATGCTGGTTTTTTATTTATTTATTTTTTTTCTGCAGGCATCGATCTGGCATTCATTGAAAACGGTTTCATCTATCACACCAAATACGACACAGCAGACAGAATACTGACAGATTCAATACAGAGAGCTGGTATGTATCCGATTTCATCATCTCTGCTGTCCGTTAATATATCCAATAATAAAGGCTCATAGATTGAGCAAGTTTGAAGCTGGTTATTTTGTCTACAGACCGATGAGAGCCTTGCAGCTCATATTTGCAGTTCTTAACTGGTTAATTATCTTCTGTTTTTATTCTCTTAAAAACTAAAATACATAAAAACTCCCCTGCTTTGGGTTTCAGTACTGTGTTAATCATCTTTATCATAGCAGAAAAAGCAGCAGGACTACAGGTCCGAGATGTTTTGGCATCTGCAGCCATTTGACAAATCCCTCCTCTTCCTCCACTTGCAATGGAAAAATATTGGACAGGAAAAAGTTTAATTTTGTAACGCTAACTCTGCTGTTTTTTTAAGCTTATGATGGAGAAAGCTGAAAAAATGGAGCGAAATGCAAAGCTGAAAGTACTTTTATGTCCTGCAGTTGCAATTAAAGTGACAATGGATCTATTTTTCTAAAAAGGGTGGTTTTTACTTTAATGCATTGCTGTAATTCCATGTTGCAAGGAATAGAGTACAATTTCTAAAGGAATATAATTATTTTATAGTAGGTTATTTTAATCGAGAAAGGGAAGCTGTGGCTTTGAGTTAAACAGTGAGCCCTAAGGGAAGAACTATATGCCGTACTCTCAGTTGTTGACCACAGTGAGCCTACCAGGCGGAAGAACAATGCAGCTTTTGTTTCAGATGTGTTGGCGTTTTGAGCATGTCGACTGTGAGGCTGCGCAGACTAACAGAAACATCATTGCCAGTATCCTACTTACACACAGACACGTACACAGTACTTCATGATGTAACCAGAGTCTTTACTAAACTGTGGGAATTTTTTGCTTTTCCATAAATCAGCAGATTGCTGCTGTTGTGTAATAAGAAAGCCGCCGCATGCTTTAAAAAAAAAAGAAAAAATTCCCACACATGAGAACACTACTGTCTTCGTCAGGTTTGTTTAAGTTCAGTTTGAGGGATTTTTAAACTTGCATGTCAAAAAATGTCGGTTATGTTTTTTTTTTCCAGATGAAATCCAGTATATGAGTATTAACCTGTGTTATAAAGATTATTTTTACGTGCAGAAATGGAACTCCTAATGTGTCCAACCTTTATTACCTTATGCTTAATGAATTACATTAAAACAGCCTTTAATTTGATATAAAAATGATATTTTCAGGAGCTTAATCTGATTAAAGTAGAAGATTCAGTTTGTGGTTTCATCACTGCAGGAATGACAATATGGCAACAACCAAAGAGAACCGAATAAACCAATCTATTAACCACTAACTCTTTCTACCAAACCGTGGATAGAGTTAGTCTGCCTCCTAAAAGTTTTAATTTCATTTTATTTTTTTATATGATGGCAAACTAAGGCTTTGTCCTCAACCCTTACTGGCACCATCTCAGGCTGGTAATGCTGTGTAAAAAGCTTTAAAATAAGGAAATCTTTTTATTATAATTGCATAATTGAAAGATACGGAGCCCCTCTGATGACATGGTCAAAAAAAAATTTTTAATTGTGGCCACGAAGTAGTATTTCGTGCGCACGAAATACTACTTCGTGACCACGCAATAAGTTTAACGTGCGCTCTCAATATCCTGTTTAAATGTCTCTCGGTAATGACGGTTCCTTGCAATGCCAGGCTTTTCAGAATGTCTTTGTAGCTCATTCCCAGCCTAAAATAAAATTCTATCATACCGTCCCTTTTCATTGTGGAGCTTTAGCCTCTCTAATGCCTCTACCATAGACCTTAGAGAAGGCGCGCTCGATCTGCTTACCCAGTTGTCCAGGAATGATATTAATATTATTAATAAGTATTTCGTGCGCACGTTAAACTTATTGCATGGCCATGAAGTAGTATTTTGTGCGCACGAAATACTACTTTGTGGCCACAATTAAACATTTTTTTTGACCATGTCATCAGAGGGGCTCCGTAGAAAGATTCTTTTAGTTGGATGAAAAAAGACATATGGGTGCTGATGTAAATGTCCCCATGTCAGTCACAGCAGTAATAAAAGAGTTAAAAGATGTGAAACTTTACCAATCAGGGATAGATGAGGACACATGTTTATAAAGATGAAGGTAAAGAAAAAACTCACTGTTAGAGAAATGCCTCCAGGTCTCCATTACAATTATTAGACCTTACTTGCATTAAAAACCTGCTTTTACAAAAAAAATCTTTTGTTGTGTACTAATGTAAGTGTTAACTAAATGTAGATTTTTTTTTTTTCCCTACACACCAGGGTTATACACAATAAACTAAGGGGAGTGAAGGGATGCTGAGAGTCTGTTTTTCAGAAGCTTTGGAAAGTTGTTAGAATAATGTTATAAAGTCTGAAATACCAAGACATACAAGATACAAAACTAAATCTGGTCTGAGAGCTAATTATGGTTCATTATGGCGTCTAATGGACCGGAGTTTGGACCATCATCTGTTTATTGGTTTAAAAAATTTATTATTTCTTGGCATGGGGCACACCTCTGGTAAAAAAAATCCATTCTTAAATTTTCAATTGATCCGCCTAAGAAACCAACAATGTTCCCTTTTTTGTGTGTTTTTTTTCTTCAGTAAAATACCTCCGGAGTTTTAGAGTCCGATGCTGAGGCTGTCAATAGCCACTGCTGCCACCCTCTGGTTTAGTGGGGAACTGCTTGTCCTGCCAAATATCCCTATCTCACAATGTTAGAGAACATTCCTGTATCCAGGTTAAGATCTGGATCATCACCAAAATTTTATGGATTTTTACTGATAAAAAAAAATGTAATTAAAATCTGTCCATAACTTTTTGAGTTATCCTGTATATGCCATAATATCCTGTATAAGGCATAACCTTGGCAGAGGATATTAAGCCTAACCTGGAATCCCCTCCTTCTGCAGACTAAAATTAGACTAAACATGATTCTAAACATCTTCTCACAATTGGCAAAAAAAAAAAAAAAAATGTTTAGCATGCAATTATCATGTATGTTGGAAAAAAAAAAACTTTATAAACTTTCTAATTTTCCTCTTTCTTTTAGAAATATGTGCATGAATTTCCTCAGTGTCTGTTCTGATGTTGATGACTGGCTGCTCTTAGGTGACAACATCCTGGCTGTTTTGAAGCACTTGGCAACATCTGAGAAGCTGGCAGACTCCTCACAGTATCGCCATGGTAACATGGTGTTCTTTGACCTGCTGGGGGTGATTGCTGTTGCGTACCCAGCTCGCGTTGGCACCATCCTCAACTACATAGTCGCCACGGCCACCTTCCTCTATCTAGCCAAGAAGGCCTCTCTGCCCGGCAATCGAGGCAGGTCTCCTTTTCACTTGTGAATGAACGTTACTTCCTTTTATGTTTGTCTTTCTCCTCATGTAACGTTTACCTCCGTCTCCTTCAGGTGGCCGTTATGTTCGGGACCTGGCCTGTGCCATGGGTGTAGCGCTGCTGGCCTGGTTTGTCACCCTGCTGTCGGTGCTTATTGTCGCTCTCCTCATTACTCTGTTGGGCCGCTCCATGTTTTGGTACACTCACTTTTATGCTGCCATTTGCTTGTATGGAGCTGCAGCTACTGGGAAGTTGATCCTCATTCATACGCTGGCCAAAAACTTCTACTATGGAGTGAGTCCCTCAGAGAACCTTTTAAGAGACAGTGAAGAAAACTTTGATTTCAGAGCAAAATTGCTTGCACATTTTTGGAGCATCTTGGGTCAAACTGTGTGTCTCCCACTCAGGGTGTGCGTCTGGTGGAGCTGGGGGATCTGTATTTTGACGGAAGCTTGCTGCTGTGGTGCTGCGGCCTGGTGTGGCTCACGCAGCGAGGCTTATCTTCAGCCTACGTACCCATGCTGATGGTGGTCTTCCCTCTGGCTACCAGACTGCTGCTAACCAAGGAATTTAAAAACAGAGGTAAACATTTGGAGCTGCATTTAAGCCCATAATTATTGAAACTCCTGGGATATGTAGATTTAAAATGATGTGCAACTTTATTTTTAAAACAGACTAGTCTCAATAAAGATGATTAGTGGCTGTTTCTACACATTTACTCTTAACCGCCTTTCTAACTAAGGATAAAGCTTGTAGCTCGTCAATCAGCTGTTCAAAGTTCAGACGGTACTCAGCTCTATTCCTGTAGCAGCACTAAAACTTCTCATGCACAGTGGATAATGATTCTCTGTTCTTCACAGCTCCCCTTACTGTCCTCTGCAGGGCCATCTACTCTGCCACATTCCAGCTGTCATTATTTTGTTTATTAATGTGTAAATAGAGGTGTTATATAATGAAAAGTATTTTTTAGGTATATCACATTAGAACATTAAAATTGGCTGAAATGTAATTAGAAAAATAATGAATTTGGCATTTAAACAAGAATGTTTCCAAATCTTGTTTCTTTTTAAAATAGTTTTAAATAGACTTCTTGGTTTGTTTCTGAAAGTCTTTACTTGCCTCAACAAGTAGAGTCGAGGTTTTCATGTAGACAATCTGTGTCCAGAAAAATGACATTTGTAGATTTGTACTTTTTGCTCTTCACCTGCAGCTATAAATGCTATTTCTTAAGGTCTACAAAAACAAACCAGATTCAACAATCTATGAATTTAATTTAGAATAAGTCAGATAAAGGCGGCTGAACTTTCTAAAGTGACAGTCTTTTACCTCCAGGAGCGTCACTGAAGTACAGTGGGCTGTATCTTCTGGGCCTGGCGCTGCCCTATGTCCACTTCATGTTCCTCATCTGGGTGGTATTTGAGATATTCACCCCCATAATGGGCCGCAGCGGCACAGAGATACCGCCTGAGGTGGTGATGGCATCTTTGGTCACTCTGGCAATCATTTTCCTCTCCTCTTATTTTGTAAGTATTTATTCAGAAATCCACAATCATATTTCATTTTCCCAGCAGAAATATCTTAAATTTTCAAAGACTCCTTTCTAATTTGTTTTTCAGAAGAGCAGGGTGTATGGTGTATCTGCTTTTAATGTACATTTTCTTCCTGCAGCTGCATTTTATCTACTTGGTGAGGAGCACAAAGTGGATCCTTACAGCTCTGGGCTCGGTGTTTGTCGTCATGGTACTGTTGTTGTCAGCCGGCCTGTTCTTTCCTTATTCTGGGAATCCAAACAGCCCCCGGCCGAAGAGGATATTCCTGCAGGTCGGGTTTCAAAAGCCACAACACACATTAGTTCTCAGCCTTTATTATTAAAAGCTAACAGGACTATTGATTTGCTTTTATCTGTTAAAAAATGTGCATCTCTCTGCAGCATACAACTCGGACCTTCCACAACCTTCAGGGCCAGGTGGAGAGCAAAGACTCTGGCATCTGGATAAACAGCTTTGACTTCACAGCAGTACAGCACATCACGCCCATCATCCCTGAGATCAACGACAGCATCCGGACCCGCTGCCGAGAGGACCGACCTTTCTGTGGTTACCCCTGGTTCCTACCTGTGAAGTTCCTCAGCAGGTCAGACAGAAGAAACTTTCTTCACTCTGCTTGTTCGGTGTCCTAAATTTGACTCATCTTAGACATTTGGTGTATTTGTAGGAAGAACTGGTATCTCCCAGCCCCACAAGTGCATCCAGCTTCTCCAGTGGCATTTAGCCTCCTGTCCAGAGAAGAGACAAGCTGGGGAACGGTCAAGATGACCTTCAGTGTGAAAGGTGACGGGCTCCATAGAGCAGACACAAAGATAAATTGGGTTTTGCAGAACTTTTTATATGTGTGAGCATTTAGTCAAGGGTATTCACCTCTGTCCCTTCTGTCTCATCCAGGACCAAACCATATGTCTCTGTATCTGATGCCTCACAGAGGAGCCAGTCTGTCCTCATGGTCTCTGGGTGACGGGACGCCTCAGTTTGACCTGAACGGAGAATATTTTGTGTTTTATTCCCATGGCCTTGATGCTCCCACATGGACCTTTTGGTTCGAAATACAGGTACTCTCTAAAGCAGAAGTATATGCAGTGAAATGGCAGACGGTCGATTGTATTGTATTATACCGTGATGTAGCGTTTAACTTGTCCTCCAGTAACATTCTAGATTATTTTACCTGCAGAATGGCCGCTATAGCTCAGGGATTACTCAGTTATGAAAGCATGTTTTTATTATCTGTTTCTAATAATATTTCTGATTGGACACATGCAGCTACAGTCATACATAAACCCACACCTGGCTTCTGTTGAAGTGGTTAAAACGAGCATGTTTTCTTTTTTGTTTTGATATGAGTTATTGATAATTAAACTTGTAACATATTTCTTAATGCTTTTTATATTGGGGGAATATCAGATTGCTTCATAAACTGAACACTTTTAGGTTGTACAATTTTAACACTAGAGTTTCAGTGACTTTCACTGGACGGCTATAAAGTTTTTTTCACTTAGATTTTTACCTTTTTTTTTTACTTAACTTTTTTCAACTGTTCAGGTAATAAATCATTCAAGGGCTCATCTAATTGGTCAAATCCCAAAAATAACATCTACACCAACATAGCAGTATATTTGCTGAATGGCTGGATATAGATCTTGTGATTCTAGTACTGATGGATGAGGGGGGGGACTCTATTTGTAAGGGGTATGCAAGTGATGAAAAAATGGTAACTTGCCCTATAAAGACATTTTTTTTTCTTTTAATAAAATTTGACTGTGAACAGGATGTTACTATTATGCTTAAAGGAAAAATCAGAAGTAACATAGAACTATTGATGTAGAGAAACACCAGCTGTACCGTTGTTCTTAGCTAAGTCCCAATCAGAAGATCTGAATGCGATCCTTTCCAGATTGATCTCAGTTATGTGTTAAATACTGATTTGTGTAACATATTTGTCGTCTGGATATTTAATTTTTTTTTAGGCAAGGCATGTTTATTTTTACAGCACAATTCAGTAAAAAGATTTCAAAGAATAATTTTTCCATTTTGGTTCTGGACTTGTTTCAGCTTCAGCCAGAAAAATTGCAGAAAAATGTCTCTTAGTTGATTTTAGCAGCATGAAAGTCTTTCAAGTCCAGAAACGTAGAATTTAGTTGGATTAAATCAAACCAAGCCTAAATTTCTCAGGCTGAGCAGCTTAGTTTACCCATGAAGCTGCTGCTTTTAGGTTTTGTTAATAAAACTGTGGTGAGATTCATGGTTTTCTATTCTGCCAGCCCCCAGCTGAACCAGATCCAGCCGGCCCAGAGGGAATGATCTCAGTTGCCATATCAACCCACTACTTCTTCGGCGAGGACCGACGGACTCCTCAGCTGGAGGAAATCCTTCCCAAGTTTCCCATCTGGGCTTTTCCCTCCTCTTGGGTCAGTACCTATGACATGTACCAGTACTGAGAACGTCTCTACTGAAACAGAGGAGCGTGGGCGGCCCGCTGACACCTTTCAGAGACTACTCAGTTGCCCTTTAACTCTGAGAGTGAAACACTAACATGCGCCTGAGGAAGACCCCATCACTGTGCTGACATGCTGAGCAGGATCGGCGCTCAGGCCTTACAAGCCTCTTACTCACTACTGGGTTAGTGAAACAAAGGAATTTATTTGTACTCAGCTGTGCCTTTTCTTTTCACACTCTCTCACTCTTCTTCCTCCACATTTCATCCAACTTTCACGCTAACACTCTTCTTGAATGATTCCTGCCGCACGTGTAAGTCACTGGGTTTACCAGCCATCGCCACACTAAACGTGCCTCTGGGTTCCTCTGCAGATGCCCTGATGGGGGGGATGCTTAGGATGCGTAAACCCGCTCTCATATTGGCTTGTTTTTATAAAACAAAAAAGGAGCTATCCATACACCACATCTATTAGGAGCAAATATATATTTGCATATCCTGAAGAGTAACTGTGATTCTGCTTTGCATTCCTTTCCTCAGCTGCAGATTTGCAGTAAACCATGTCCATGTGTTTAAATGAGGAATGCTAACATCTGCTCAGGCTTTCAGAGGGTTTGGAGCAAAGCAAAACAGAGCTGGCTGAGGTGTTTCGAGAAAGGCAGTGAAAAGCAATAATTAAATATCAGCTTTAGAAGAAACTGAATAAGAAAGAAAGGAGATTTGAAATGAATAGGAAATCTATAACAAGGCTCTGCATTCAGCCAGTGCTGTTCCAGCTGAAATGGTGCTTATTTACATTTCATTTTGCTGTAATATTACTTTGCTGAAACCTGATTAGGATTCACTGGGTCTGCAGGAGTGCTAGTAACTTTCTTTTGCTAAACTTAATCATTTATTGTTTTTCAGTGTGTTTCCGAGACTAAATGTATCTAAACTGTGGAGAAGTGTCATATCTTAGAGCCAAAAAGTAATTACTGATTTAGTACCATAGCAGAACAGAGAAGATCTGTAAATTTAAAACAGATTTGTACATTTTTATTGGGAATTGCTCTACGACAAGCATTTTTTTCTTTTGACTTCATTACTTTTTCCTCACACTAGTGGATAGAAAACTTAACCCTAATTTTGATTTCTAAATGTCTATTTCCAGATTATAGCCTTAGATAAATAATAATGATTTCCATTTATGCCGAAGATTATAGTTTTGTTAATTTAAGGTTCTTTAAATATGATCAAAATTAGACTCCTTCCTGTGTTTCCTTCAAAATAATAAATCAAATACTTTGCTGCAAACTAACCAATGTGCTTAAAAAAGAAAAATCAGAAAATTGTTTGCTTTTTGTTTCAGTCAAGCTAACTTAAAAAAAAAAAAAAATCTGTTTCTATTATATATGTTTTTAAGATTGATAAAACCCCAGACGTACATTGTTTTCAGACAATAACAATACATGACTGTTAAATCGGAGGCATGATATATTCAAAATGATTCGATCATTCCTTTATTCCAATAGATTACATTTTTTTGTTTTGTAGAGAAAGATAAAAAAGTTATTTCCACTCATATTATTAGACATATAGTGGTATGCAAATCTAAACTCCTGCTGTAAGCAGCCTATCACCATACTTTGGGGACAGGAGATGTGTGTGCGAATGTGAGATTAAAAGATCGAGTGGTGCAGACAGCCTGTAATCTAAGCTGTTAGGTGTCCTCTTCATTCGGGCAGATCATCTGTCTGATTCATTCTCACACACAGTGATCAGCTTCACAGCAACTTGAGCTTTTTTTTTTAAAATACGTTCAATGTTCATATTAAGCCAAGATGTAGAGATGATTTTATACGATTATAAACTCCACTGTTCCTCATCATCTTGAATATCTCCCCTGATCGGTGCTTTCAGAGGGATTTTTAGGAAATGCACTGATGTGTTTTTGCTCCATGTTTTGTATAATCCAGGAGGATTTGATTTATATCGGGAGCCTCTCCCTGCTTTTCTGCTGTGCTCCTCAGAGCGGAAGGTCAGACAGAAGCAGGCCTTAAGTTCCTGCTTCCAAAGAAGCACAAAAAGTTTACTGCTATGGGAAAAAAAACAACAACCTAACAGATTTTAAAGTGCTGTCCAGTTTTTTTTTTTTTTATGTTAAATTAAAAATGCTTACCCAGGATTCAAGAGATTACAGTTGGTGAGGAAATGTAGGGGATTTAATCCCCATGATTTATTATGCTACATTGGACGGTAACAAACGGTATTCTACTCTACAACAGATTATTTTATTATATTAAGAAAGAAAGATGAGTAGAAATGAACAAAATCAGCTGCTTTTTTAAAGAGATAATGAGATGAAAACTGGTCTGTTTTAGTGGACTTTGTCGTCATCAACATAGTACTGAAATCCTGAAAAAAAAAAAAATAATTCGTTGTCACTATTACTAAATTTAGTGTTTTAATTAGTCTTTTTTCTGTGACTTGATTATACAACACAAGGTTTCTGTGATCACTGTTTTTAAACATGAAATTGGTGCACAAGTTTGAGTTAATGTTAAGGTTTTCAATTAACATTCAAAGTTTAATGTTTGCATTCTTTCAACTCATGATGTGAAAACGTCCATCTCTGGTGTTTTGCTTGCATCAATCAGTTTTTGGGGTAATTCTGGCTGTGACTGATCGGTACTCTTGGTCGAACTGTATGGAGTCAGAAAGGGGTAAAAATGTTTGTAAACTTATAAACTAATATTTGAAACTGAAAGGATAGATGTTGTTATGAATGTCGAATTTTTACCTTATAATCTGAGAAACTAAAAAAGCAAACATAAAATAAGAATTGGGTCTAAATTCTTTCCTTCAGCTTGAAAAAACACATAATTCAGTTTAGTATTTTAATTACCCTTTTTTTTATTGCAGTTTTTGATTTTTTAGAAAAGAAATAAAAATAAAATAAAATGTGTAATCACAATACTAAACTTAATTTAGATTAAATTTTTATTTTTAATGTTTGCTTTTTTAGATTCTCACATTATAACCTAAAAATTTGACATAAATATCAACTTCTACTTTCTGTTTCATCCAAGATTTAGAAGTTTACAAACGTTTTGACTCCTTTCTGACTCCGTAGAACTGCTTTACTGTGATTCAGCACGCAGCCAATCAGGGGGCTTGAATTTTGCCCTAATTATATTCAAAAGAAATTAAACTTGTGCACCCTGTTCTTATTTAAAAAATATTACAGCTGTATGTTGTGTAATTGAGTCACTGTGGGGAGAATCATTAAACTAAATTTTTAATTCATGCAGAAAATGAGACAAAGCAGAACAAAAAGGATTTAGAATTTATAAAGTCATGACTGATGTTTCTGCTCCTCCTAGTGACCATCTAATGCATCAAACTTAAACTGCAGAGGCCATGGAGATAGATTTTGATGGCAAACTGGGCTAATTTAATCAACAGTTTAGTCCATTTGGAGTGTTAGACAAAACAAACTACTGAAAGTTAATATTTTTTTAGTCGAGATTTGAATGCAAATAAGCATTTAAATAAACGCATTCTTTATTTCTTTATTGGTCAGCATATTCAGAAGTCCAGAGTATTTCACTGTGTTTAACTGGTTTCTGATGTTTAATAGAAGGATGTTAGATTATTAACAAAATGGGAGCCTGTTAGATGTGTGAAATGCTCCCATCCTTTGATAACAGCTGCTCTAAAGTCTCCTGTTAAAGAAATAAAAGGTTTAAGGGAGAAAGTGAAGCTAAAACTGACCGAGCACTGAAATGTGTGTGTGTGTTCTGCACACCTGGGTGAAGCTTTCTCATCGTCACGTGTCCAGATCAGGTTGAGAAATCAGCCAAACTCACTGATGTGTCTTAAAGTTGACCGATGCCACTTATATTTCTTTTTTTATTGTTATCTAAACTGTTTGATTGTCCATTCATGCCTCATTTTATATTTTGAATTTAATAAAAAAATCTGATTTTTGTTATTTTTTTGTACAAAAATTTTATTTCTTTTAGTTTGATGTCATTTTAAAGGATCAATCTGGTTAGCAGGGTTTGTTTAGAAGACCGAAGATTTTACATTATGCAAAATGGCTGAACTAAAGTAGCACTAATACGGAGATTAAAATGCTTCTAAATTTCAGTTTGTTGTGTATTTATTCTTTGTAAACCTGGTGACTGCATGACAAGCAGTTAGAAGGTCCCTGGTCAGGCCTTCCTTGGTGCTTTCCACATGTCTCTGGTTCCGCCCACAAACATGCACGTGTAGGGCTGCAAGGCATTGGAAAAATACGTGGAAATTATAGGTAAAAATTGGGGAAATGGTATTACTTATTACACATCTGCTTTTGCTTTACTCCTAGAGTGACCCTCCATGCAACAGGATACTTCTAAACCAAATCTTAACATGTTAAAATAGCAAATTCATAATATTTGGGAATGTCCAGAAAGAAATGCAAAAAAAAAAAAAAATGCATAGATGTTGAAGCCTTCCTACAATTTCTTAACTTTGTCAGATTTTTTTTGAATCGTCTTCCAGGAATTATTCTACGAGGAACAGATTTGCAAATAGGTTCTCCTACCTGAACCGTATGTCTCCCTAATTTAATGGAGTCACCATGGATCACATAAAATCCCAATAAATAAAAGACAAAGTAGAAAATGGATAGATAAAAGCTTCATTTGAGTTCAGTGTTCATTTTAAAAATAATTTATTGGTCTGTATGTACACAGGAAAAAAACTGAAGTAGAAAACAGAATAATAAGTAGAAAAGACATAATGTACAATAGTTATCTTTACACTGCATTCAGGATGTCTGCTGCCCCCAGAGGTGAAACGTTACTCTGAGCAAACAGGCAATACTTTTAAACTGTACACAGTAGGGAGGGAGTCACGCCCGACTGGCCCCCTCCTCACCAAATCACCCTGCAAAGAAGAAAAAAAAAAACCCTCATAAAACATCGGCCATATTCATTCCCGTAGGAAACCGTCTGTCAGGATAAGGAAAGAGTGGCGTTGGTTAGGTGTCGAATGGATGGGCGTGAGGTTTGGTTCAATCTGCATAAAGACTCTGTCCGGTTTCAACAGAAGGCCGCTGGACGTTAAAAGTCTTTGGTTCATCGAGTTACCGTTTTCAAGTTTAATAAAGGTCACAGCGGAGAAGTGTAGTGTGGCTGTGGAGTTTGGGGCCTACTGAAAACTCAATTTAAATCCCAGCTTTTCTGTTGAGAGAGATTTCCTAAACGAACCATCTGAGCCAACTATTTCAACAGAGGCCCATTTACAGACGGTTTTAGTCTACATTGAGAGAGAAAAACTGAGGTGGAGAAAAGAGAAACATAAAGCTTAAAGTAACATTTCCCACTCAATGCACATTATAATACTGACAAAACCGCTTTAGTGCCCGTGGTTGAGAGCACTAGTCTGATTATTTAAGCTTGTTCTCAGTCATTAAAACAAACCTCGGCTCACCTATAATGCCAATAAATAACAATAATGACGACTAATACGATAAAATCAACTCTAAGCGATCAAAGCCACCCATCAGGTTAATACATGAACACAATGCGACACGCATCGGGGAAAGCAGCATGCAGACTCGCTGCGTCGGTATGTTGCACGGTGGAGAGGCGAGTTAGGATAGATGTGATCAGTTCCCTTTGATTCAAACTGTTAACACTGCAGAGGAGGGATTCATGTGAAGCCGGCAGACGTGTCCAAAAACATTAGAGCAGCTTTAGGTTCTGCTTTCTGCTCATATGAAAAAACGCAGGAGAGTAGGGTCAGGTGTTCTGCTTCCTTAAGAGATGAATGGATCTGTGGGATCTAAGTGTGCAGCTGATTCCCTTCTGAGACAATACCAGACGTCAGAACTACACAGAAATCGAGTTTTTCACAGCGATTATCTCCAGAATGATAGTTTGTAGAAAAATAATCGAGTTTGTCCTCTTACATTATTTTAAAAGGTATCAAAACATCCTAAAGTGATGAGGTATGGAAGCAGGCTGAGAGACATTTCACGGTTTCTGCCGATGCTTTGTTCTACAGTCTGCTGATTAGCATGAGCTAAGTCCTTGAATTTCATGGAACAAAGGAGAAAACTGGTGCCTTCCTGTGCTGCTCTGCAGCTTTCAAACACCACCGGCAGGAGAAAAAAAGTGACACAGCTGACCTTCTTTCCCATCCAGCACATTTTGGTGAAATGTTAGAGAACGTCCAAGCCGTCTGGTGGCTCGGTATGCCTTAAAAAAGGGCGGATTTAAAGATTACATAATACTGACTGAAGTATGAACCTGCAGGGAGAGGAGCTTTATGCTCTTAAAGACACTGTCTAATCCCAGTCTGCCTCCTCAGTCTGAAGTTCACAGGTTAAAGACTAGAATTGGCCCTAGCATTCAGGACAAGGTGCAGTCGTAGGTTCCCTCCCCCTCGCCCTGCTCCTCCGTTTGCTCAGGAGGAGAGTCTTCAGGAGGAGGGCGGGAAAAGACCCCAGCAGGTTCGAGCGAGGGCAGTGCCAGCCCGAGCGGTGCGGGCACCCCTCTGCTGTCCTCCACCCGGGGGGCAGCGGCTCCAGCCGGGCCCTCAGAGGCCGCCAGCTTGCAGCTTTGGATTGCAGGTTGGAAGGCGTCAGGCTGCACCTGCTCGGATGTCGAGTTCATCAACTGCTGCAGCTGCGGCTGGATCAGGTTGAGAAATGGTTTGTATCCAAGGCTGGAGAGAGAAAAGAGGAAAGTAAAAGAAAGGAAAGTTTTATACCCTGTTTTCCCCCCATGTTAAAACAAAAGTTCTATGCATATT